GGTAGGAGGGTGGGGGGGGGGGGGGGGCGCGGATGTGTGGGGGAGGGCCGGTTAGCACGCACGCCCGCTCGCCAAATCTGGCCGCGCTACGAGTCTTTTTTCTCTCTCTCTCTCATTCAGCTGCCCCGGTGGTGGAGGATTGTAATGATGATTTACTCCTTCCACCACCGCAACCCCCCCCCCCCAAACACAGCCGGAGACGGCGATGAATCGTCACAACTCAGGGCCGTGATGCGAAACGAGAATGTCACTTCCTCGGCTTTGCCATTTGGGCTGTTTTTCTTCTATTTAAAATGTAATTATAATAAGCAGTGTTGTGCAACAATTCACTCCCACAGAAATTCAACGATTTGCTGGCAACGACGATAATTTTATGAAAATATATTTTTAGTTTTATTCATGGTTTTGTGTATGTTGTTTATATTTATGTTACATTCTAAAGGTTTGTTCTTTTCATTAGCCTAAATGGCGCATCAATGGAGCATCGTTTGCAAAAAAAATATATTAAATTAAGAGCTCTCTGTGAATCCGCCGAAGACCTCGACGCATCGTGTCGGTCATGCGGGCTTGTTGGACGTACTTCACCGTTTGCTCAGGTTGGTCGCTTCCGACGAGTTCAGATATCATTCGCCACTCATGTTCGTTGTGGCCTAGAACTGAGCTCGGTAAATGGGCGCGGAGTGCAGTTGCACTCTGCAGTGCCCTGTCAAGGATGAACGGTGGTCGAGACTAACGGTGGAGTGGCATCGAAAGGAGGGAACGATGAAATCAGCTTGTGTGAAGGTGATAGATGGATCGTTGCATCACATGAGAGATGCTGACAGCTTAAATATGCCTTCAATCCAGCAGTGCATTGATTATTGTTGATGGGGATTATTGGAGAAATATTTTTACGTATACAATACGAGTAGAGCATGTTTTCCTAATTGTAAATCCAAGTAAGGGGCCATCCATTTAGTAGGTATGCAAAAATATGTCAAAACTTGACCCCTCCCTGTACGCACGCGGACTTTTTATACCCCCCCCCCACCTGCGTACGTACGCTTGATGCACCCCCCCCCCCCCCCCCCAGAATCCTATAGAACGGCGGATATTTAATCCACACAGAAACGATCAACGATTAATAATATCAACGTGTTTAAACAAACAGATAGTCCACCGCCGGACTATCCAACTCAATTGAAAGCCAAATTATTTTCGAGGCTACACCACCCCCCCCTCCCCCCATTTCCTATGCGTACGTACATTGTCAGTAGACCCCCCATATGCAAGCGTATGCATTTGGGTTAACCCCTCCCTCCCCCCTCCATGATACGTACTAAATGGATGGCCCCTAATATATAAGCCAGTAAAGCCACTTGCTACACTTCTTCCTCGCCAGATAGGTCCGCACTGACCCCACTCTCAGCCCGCGTGTTCGTTAGCATGGCTGAAAGTTCTCTCCAGATAGTACAGCGGTAGCGGTGGGGGGAGAGGGGGGGATTGGTGGTGTCAGATTCAGAGAGGGAAGCAGCAGGGAGGAGAGGTTCGTACTGAGCCACGGATAAGTCAAGCGGCCCCTGGGGGGGTGTGTGTGTGTGGGGGGGATCATAGCAGGAAGTGGGAAGGACACGGGACGAGCACTCTGGGCCGTAATTACAACACGGGCACAGTCACGAGACGTCGACGAGACAATGGCGGGCAGGAAATGAATCCGGCAGCCGCAGATGGCTGGCGGAGGGCGAGATGCAACGAACGAGCAACACCCCCCTGCTGGGAGCGCGGGACGCTGCCGGGCAGCCACCGCTCCCGACTTAAAAGTTTCCAAAGAGCGGAAGGCGAGCAGAGAAAGTGGTTTCCCGTCTCTCTGGGATGAACTCTCCCTCCTCCTCCTCCTGCCCTTCCTCCTCCTCCTCCTGCTGTGGGTTGTGTTCATCTCTCGCCTAGGCAACGACTGTCGTGGCGATGCATTCCCCGGCTCCCTTCCCACCGGCCCACTCCTCCCTCCTCAACGGTGAAAAGTTACTCTGAATCAGAGGTCGCAAACGGGTAGGGTATGGGTATCGGAGACCTGATTGCGACCTCTGGGATGAAACCATGTTCCAGGCGCGGGTGGGTTGATTCTAGGAACTTGAATTGTGAGAAAGAGACAAGACGTTGGGAAATGAGTGACAAACAGTTACTCACCAGTGACTCACGGTCTACCCGTACCCGTACCCGGCCATATAGCACACAGATGAACGGAAGCTACAATGGAAATAATAGTTGTTATCTAGAATAATAAATATAATAAAGTGCATTTGGAATTCACGCTGTCATTCTTATCGTGGTGCAAGGCCACCGTGAAGAAAGGCGCTACACGTTTCACACAGTCTGCAGTAGCTACACAGTATGGGTCTCTGTTGCAAAGTGCAATCCCACACGAGTAATTTGCAGGTAATCTTATGAATGTTGGCAACATGCGTATGTGAATATACATGCGATAAGCAGGCTGTGTTTCATGGCTCGTCAAACACAATCTTGAAACTTACGTTGGGGAGATTTTTTTCTTTAAAGTCACCGACAAACGCAGCTTCATATCACCCGAGTGACATGACCACAACAACACTGCCTTACATCGCGATGCGATGTCAGTGGAGTAATATCACTCCAGTACACACTCGAGTGTCAAGCTCGACCCAAAAAAAGTCTACTCGTTAACGATTATTCACACTTGTATCAGACGGCCTGGGAATATCAGCCGTCGGTATGTATCTGTAGGATTACAAGAGGTTCTTGAATCCCTTCCAGAATCTCTGCAATATGAAAGCAGACAGGGGTCCTCCTCCTCCTCCTCTCAGGACTGGACAGATGAGAAGCACGTGGGCAAAGACAATCCGAGCAGCCAACCCCATGTAAGCATGGGACTTTTGTCTTAGAAAAAGATGTATGTCCATGGGTCTCTATGTAAGTCTATGTATGCATACGGGTGTCTATGTAAGTAGGGGTAGTGTAGTGGTTAGCGCGCTGCACTACGAACCCAGTGACCCAAGTTCGATCCCGCTCACGGCCAACGCCAGTGACGATTATCTGAACCGGTCCTGGGCCTCCCCTCAGCCTCAAATGAGTACCTGATGCGGTGTGTAAACATCGTCAATGGGAAGACAAAGGCGGCCGGGCGTAGTGCTGGCCACCCACCCCCTCGTGTGCTGTTCTGGCCTTCATAGGTGCTCGCTAACAGCACTTGCCCCTACAGTCTGTTAAGGCTATACAGGAGATGTTTGTCTTTGTGTGCGTGCAGCTAGGTGAGTGTGTATGTATGTATGACCGCGTGTATATGCTTGTTGCAATTGCATGAGAGTACGTGACTATGCATGAGTGTGCATAAGTGCCTGTTGGCAAGTTTGTGGTTAAGTGTGTGCATGAGTGTGTGTGTGTCTAAGAACGAGTGTGTGTGTGTCTAAGAACGAGTGTGTGTGTGTCTAAGAACGAGTGTGTGTGTGCAGGAGTTTGTGGATGTGCAAGTACTGATGTGTGTATATTTTAGTGTGTAGGTGAGTGTGTGTGTGTATATGCATGTTTGTGTGTGTCTAAGTATTTTCACGCGCAAATAAGTGCAATGTGCAGTCTGTTTAGGCTATACGGGGGATATTTGTCTTCATGTAAGTATATGGTTCTCTGTGACAGCCTATGGATCATCTACTACACACAAAGTGCTTGCACAGATGAAGCACAATACCTTGCTGACCTCGTCAAGGAGCATAAACCATCACGTGAACTCCGGTCATCCTCGCAGCGGATTTTGGCTAGCCACCAAATAAAAACGGTCACCGCATCGCGCGCTTTCAGATGCGTGTCTGCGGCCGTCTGGAACGTTCTTCCTTGCAATATTTAGAATCCACTGGAGCTTATGCACTTTTAAATCATCTAGATTGAAAACGAATTTCTTTAAAACTGCTATTTGTGTTTAGTTTGTTCTTCCCCTGCACATCCAATTAGTATAGTTTGTTATGTATGGTGCTAAAGAAGTTCAATATACATACAATTACATAGAGACCCGTACACTTTCATAAACCTACATAGATATCCATACACTTACATAAACCACGTACATGCAGATAATTAAAGAGACCCATACACTTGCTTCTTTTCCAAAGCCAAAAATCACATTGTTGCATGGGGTCGGCTGCTCAGAGTTTCCTGTCTCAAATCAATCACCGCAGATTCTGGGGACTCTCACACCGCGTAACTCATGTTGCGCAAATTGCATCCAAAGTAATCCTGTTCTGCATGGGAGGAGGCAATCACCGGCAGATGCACCGCGTGCACCACCCACCTCCCTGACTGGCGATTGGCACTTCGCTCGCTGGATAGGGTGGGGGGGGGGGGAGCAGAAGGAAACGGCGCTACTGGGTGTGATCAATGGCCTGAATTCAATTACTTCTGCCATCTCTCGGCTAATTGAATGCAGTGATGTGTGCCGCACACTGCTCCCCTCTCTTCCCTGCCGCAACCATTATCGCCGACTTGTCTTGATTAGTCAGGGCCTTTGATTTTTTTTTTAAACCGCGATCGGGGGAAAAGAGATCCAACGGCACAACAGGAAGGAGTAACACCGGAGTACACAACTACCACCCTGAACACCACCACTACAGCCACCATCCCCCACTACCATCACCACCACCAATTTAATGACCGCCACCACTATCATTACCACCCACCACTAGCTCCTGATCACACGACGGAATTCACCGCTGTAAACAGGAGATGAGTCCATCCACCACCTCCACTACCACAACAACCACCACCAATTCCACTAACATCACCACTACCACGACTACTACCACCATGACCTCCACCACAACGGCCAAAATCCCCACTACCATCACCCCCACCCACAACTACGACCACCACCACCACTGCGGCCACCACCCCCACCACCATTTGAACCACCACCACGACTTCCGCTATCATCACCACCAACCACTGGCGGCAGCGGCGGCGGCGACGACGGTTGGGGGCCACAAGCCGCGGGGCCTCACCTGGGCGAGTCTGGCTGCGGCCTGCCACGGCCCCGCGTGTCGGCCTCCCACACGCCGTTGGCCAAGGCGTTGCCGATGGCCAGCATGACGGCGGCGAGCTCCAGCGGCCAGTCGTCCAGGTCGAGCGAGCGCACGCGCGACAGGTGCGTGCCCAGGTTGCGGTGGATCCCCGAGCACTCGATGCACATGAGGGCGCCCAGGTTCAGGCTCGCCCAATCCGGGTCTGCGGACGGACGGACGGACGGGACAGATCGATAGGTGGACAGATGAATGGACAGATGGGTGCGTAGATGGGTAGAGGGATGGACAGAGAGATGAACGGGCAGATTGACGAATGGGCAGATGAAATTATAGACGAATGGTGCATGTGTGTATGTGTGTATGTATGTACGTACGTATATATGTGTCAGTGCTACCCAAACGTCAGCGTGCGTGTATCAGCGTCGTGCATGTATGTGTCTGTGTGTGTGTATCGGCGTCATTTGGATTAATGTGCATGCTTGTGCACATGTGTGTGCCAATGTTAGAATCGGTGGAGAATCCATGGGTGGGGGGGGGCTACCACTGCCCCCCCCCCCCGCCCCCCCCAAAACGCAAAAAAATTGTATTTCATTGATATTTACCAGAGAAAATATACTGACATTGTTTTCCCCATTATGATTGATCCAGGGTTATATTTAAAAAGCTTAACATTTCATAACCTACCACCCCCCGCCTTGGGAAGTTTCTATATCCGATTTTAATCCTCATGTGTACGCGTGAACGGGCATGTACGCATACGCGGTGCTGGCCACACTACTCCCTCGCGCACCGTGCCAACCTCAACAGACACTCGCTCACGGCACTTTCCTCGACAGTCCGTTAAGGTTATATGGGAGACCTTCGTCTCTGGTGTGAGTATGTATGGATGTTGAACTTCTTTCGCACCCTATGTTGCCAACCGCACGAATCGTAGGTGCGGGGAAGGGCAAAAAAAAGCAGTTTTCAATATAGATTTAAAGTGCACAGCTCCAGTCTAGAAGTTTTCGTGACTGCAGGAATCCATACTCTTTGATTCTTTCAGTAAAGTCACTTAGGTACAAAATAAATTAAATCACGACGTTTCAGGCGCAACACAAGTGCCCGTCATCAGGTGGAAACAACCACAGCAATAATCAATTGCTGAAGTCGGGAATAAAAAAAGCGGGCACTTGTGTTGCGCCCAAAACGTCGTGATTTAAATTATTTTGTACCTACGTGACTTTACCGAAAGAACCAAAGAGTATGCACAGCTCCAGTTTCTTCCTAATATTGGAAGGAAGGGCGTTCCAGACGGCCGCAGAAGCGCATCTGAAAGCGCACGATGCATTAACCGTCTTAGTTCGATGGCTAGCCAAAAGCTGCTTCGAGGATGACCGAAGTTTGCGTGGTGGTTTATGCTCCTTGATGAGAGACACGTGCGTGAATGTATTGGTGTGATGCTCGCGGACACGCGGGTCAAAACTCACTGGGGGCGTCACAGTCCACGCACACAGAATTCCCGCGCACGTTCCGGATCGACTGGATCGTAACCGCATCGCTCTGGCTCCCCGTCCGCGTCTGCTCCACAGGGAGAGCCATACATGCACACCATATCCACCTTCATAGATGCCCTGTGACAGTCAAAGCTCGTAAACAGACCACATTGTTCACGAGCACCTAATGAGGGAAGGAATGGCACACTGGAGGGTAGTAAGCCAGAACCACCCTCACCACCTGTGTCGCCCCATCGTTGATGTTTATTCATCACATCAGTTACTGACTTGAGGCTGAGTAGACCTAGGGGAGACCAACGAATCGTTCAGATATGATTGCTGTTGTTTACGGCCAAGATTTAAACCCTTCTGGATTCTAGTCCAGTAACCACTAAACCTCTGCTCCCCACTACACACACCCACACGTGTATATATACACACACACAGCATTGTAAATGGATTTTAGGTTAACTTAAATGCATAGTCTAGGTTACAAGATTTCCAACTATTTCACGAGAAGTGCCATTTATTTAAGTAGGGTATTTCAAAAATAGATACTTGGGTGAAACGTAGTTATTTCTCGTGACTTCTTACGAGAAACGACACGGAAGTCGGACCACTCCGCACCAACGCAGGCAATTCAAATCCCACCAATGCACGGGAACCACACCATCTTGGTTCTTTCGGTAAAGTCACGTAGAATGGAAATAATAAAATAATAAAAATAAATCATAATAAAATAATTCTCACGACGTTTCGGCCACAACGCAAGCAGCCGTCCTCAGGTGGAGAACAGGTCTTTCAAATAGACAGCGTCTGAATGACTCTGTCTTCTCGACAGACCTGTTCTCCACCTCGTGAGAATTATTTTATTATGTTTTATTTGTATTATTTTATTATTTCCATTCTACGTGACTTTACCGAAAGAACCAAGATGATGAATCCCTGCAGTCACGAAAGCCCTAAATCGAAAGGAAACCACACCGGCATCACAAACGAGAGCGTGCCACGTGCGAGGTCAAAGGACGTTAAAAGAGTGCCGGCAAGCGTTGGCCACCGTGTGCCGCCGACCTTGCTGCCGGCGCTGTGGCAGGACTGCAGGCTGGCGAAGATCTGGCTCTCGATGGCCTGGACCCAGGCCTCGCGCTCCTCCGCACTGGAGGCCTCCAGGTGCCAGCTCTGTCCCGTGAGCGATACGATGAGGAACTCAAACGACTCCTCCGCGTCTGCTGGGGCGGAACGAGGGAGCGGTGGGGGGGGGAGGTGGATTGGAGGGGGGATGGAGGGGGGGGGCGTACAGGGATGAGGATGTTCCAGAGTGCCGGTTTTAATAACGATAATAATTTTTGGGACTTTGTCAAACCACTGTTGGAAGAAGGCCTCCTCGTGCCACGTCAATGTCAGGTGTTGTTTGACCATACTTCACCACAATTGTCAGTGGGGGTTGGCGCTTGCTACAACACATTGAGAAATATCACCGGTAGTTGCTTTGCAACTCAAGGCTTTCATTTACATCACGAGTGTCGACTTCTAACCCCACTACGCTACGTCGTGGAATTCGTATTGTTCAATTCGTATTGTTTAATGTAACGACTTGGGAACGTCTCTCTCCCCCCCCCCCCCCCCCCCCCGTAAAAAGGCACGAGCGTGCACGCCAACCGCCACGGCCGGAACCTGCACCTGCCCCCCTCCACTTCTCCCCTCCCTCCCTAACACCCCCCCCCCCCTTTCTCTCCCACCACTGGAAGGAAGCGGCTGCAGCCTTAAATCAATCGGCAGCGGCACGGGGGCGATGATTTCGAGACGAGTTCAAAACTTTGGCATCGCCGTCGGAGCTTGGAAAGAAAAATAAGAGCGAGGAATGTTTGCGAGCAGCACCAAATCCCTACGCAGCACGCCGAGGACCCGACCACCAGTGTCCGGTTTGTGTTCCCGGCCTTGGAAAAGCTGTGACTGACGGGAGTATTTATTATGCATTGTTGCTCGCCACTATCCTCTAATGAGTTTTTTTTATTTAAATAATAAAAACAACGTGGTACATTTCGACGTTGCCTCTCGAAGACAAGAGCCAGCGGGGACGCGCTTTGAGCCGCGTTGATTGGCGACGAGCTACGGGGTGAAGAGCCGCAAGAGCCAGATTGTGATTTTCAGCGCAGACGCGATGAGTTGGTGGAAATTAAAGTGATCTACTTGATATGTGAGCAACGCAAGAAAAAAACAATTAGCGCAGCTCAGAAACACGAAAAACATAAAAAATGGATCGTGAGGTTAAACGAGTTTAGTCAACACACACACACTGGCACAACGAAGAATGTAACAAAAATGCAGAAACGCTAATTGTACTAATTTACAAAAAACTAATTGGTGCATAAAGTGGTGTTAACAAAGACCGCCTCCATCAGATGTGAAAATGGTTACATATGTTCTCGTACATTGCTGCCCCTTGTTTTTAGAGGAGGAGGGGGCTTCCTTTGGAATTAAACAATTATGCATGAATTGAGGGGTGGGGGGCACGGGGTGGGGGGCCCTAGAGGTTTGGCGAAAAGGCTTCGGAAGGCCGGACATCCTGGCCATGCCCGCTGTGAGCACAGACGCCCGTCGCTCTCTCTCTCTCTCTATCCCAGCGGCCACGGAGAGGCCGTGCGAATGCCACATCAAGGATACGCCACAAATTAATAACCTATGGCAACAAAATTAGCTTTGCGGCTTCCCCACCTCGCGCGTTTCCTCCCCAAAACAATACGCCGCCGAAAGGGCAACATCCGCCTTTCGCAAGGACAAAGACGGCCTGTGCCCTCGCGCGCTTCACCAACAAGGCCCGCTTTTGTCTGATGCTGTTCCAGCGTTCGTGGGGGAAGCTTTGCGGCTCCCACGAAGCTCTCGGGAAATGGGAAAACGCGGCCAGGGCAGGGGCAGGCCCCGCGGCGGCGACGGCGGCCATTATCTGTCGGAAGGTGGAATGAACCGCACTGGCACAAACAATGGGGAGACGTGCGCAGACGAACGAGCGGACAAACAAACGGACGGACGAGCGGACGAGTCATCGCCGAGGGGGTAGGAACAGGCGTAAGCACAAGAAGGGGGGGGGGAGGATGGGTTCCGACGGTGGGCCGGCCGGCCGGCCGTACCTTCCGCGCTGTTGGCCGCGCCGTCCGGCCTCGGGTTGGCAGCGCTCTTTTTCCGCCGGTGCTTCTTGCGGTTGGCGTGCGGCGACGCAGGCGGCTCCAGCTTGGGGCTGGTGGTGGCGCAGGGCGCCAGCCCAGGGCCCAGGGAGTCGCATGTGCCGTCGGCTGCGCGATCGCCGCGGAGGGCCCGGCCAAGCGGCCCAGACGCGTGCCGCCAACGGCCACCGACGGCAACCGGCACACGAGCAACGAGACACAGCGAATGAGGAAGATTCAACTTGTTTTTTCAGACGTTCCTTTGAGGACATTGTCGACCGATGGTCCCAGTCAGTTTCCCTTGATGCCATCCCCACTTTGCTGTCACGACCTTCTGCCAGATTCCATCGTTTTGCAAAGTTGATGATATCCAACCACCAAGTTCTGGTCTTACAGTCTCATCATCATCATCATCACCACCACCACTGCCATCTGAGTTTAAGTCTTGCCCTTGTTCCATAATAAATACATCATCACCACCACCACAAGCATCTGATTTTAGAATTTCCTTGTCGTTATCGGCCTCTGGGTGCCGCTTCAAGGCCTGTCCGGGTAACATGCCCTCCTCCATCCTGCGTACGTGCCCCACCCATCATCATCACCGCCACTCTCCACGATTACGTTCTATTGTTTCCATAAAACAAGCTGACGCGCAGGTGCTACATTATTCGCTACAAGTTGCACTGTGAGGCCATGAGAAAGGGCGATGAACTGGGGAGACTTTCATCCGACAATGAATAGATCGAGGATGACGATGGCGACAAAGACAATGATGATGATTGTATTGGGATACAAACAAATATTACATTTAATTAATGAAGTCTTAAATTCGGCGTGTGTATCATGAGCATCTTGAAATGAAGCTGCATTTGAGAGGCCAATAAAAGGAAGACGATTTCCTTCTCAACTGAGCATCGAGGCAACCTGCCGTTTACAGCCCTGCAGAGCCAATTGTGAGAATTCTACAATCATATGGCCGGGGAGAGTCTATCCATATGACCCCACTGTCGATTTCCCCACGAAATGGTACTAATATGTAATGGCTCCAGACGTATGCACGTATGTGTTGAACTTCTTTCGCACCGTACCAAAGCCAACCGTGCTGATCATCGCACGTGGGATGATGGGCTGAGCCAACTCCAGCCATGATTTGAGCTGAGCTGCGGAGCCACCTGGCCGGATTGCGTCAAATTGAATCGATGACTTGGTCGGTACATTTCGAGTGAAACTGCATCCTCGGTACGCGTCGTGGATCGTAACATTTACATTAATTTTTTTTTGTCCATTGTTGTCATAGCTTGCGGGAAGCAGATAGGGCTCTGCCAGAAAAAAATACAAGCGCACACACATACACACACACACACTTGGCATTCAGGGTCCATTGAACAATAACAGTGGGTAGCCTGGCCACAAGGACGTGGCCAACAATGGCATGCCGATGTTTAGTGCTCTGTAAGCTCTTGCTTGTGAGAAATTTCCATAAATTAGAGAAAGCCAAAAAAAAACTCCTAGCGGTGGAGTAATAAAGAGGTTGACGAGTGAGAGAGCGCCCGCAAGGTACGTGCAACAGACGTCGTGGAGCAGCAACGCGATCCGCATTGTTGGGATCGACGCCGCGGTGTCCGATTGAAAGCCATCCCACCCCCTCCCCCCCTAATTCAATTGGGCATGACCCCCTCGCATCTCATCACACGCTCCGGCCGCTTTGTCGAGTCGTCACCTCCACAAAGAAGCCTCCCTGCGGCGTGTCAAGCAAGCGGTGCGTCCACGCGCGCCACGCTGGTGTCCCCGGGGGAGGGACACTACACCCGGGATCGGTTTTCGCTCGCTCGCTCACCGGACTGAATAACAAAAAATTAAGAATATTCCACGGCGTGCGACTGTAGTCACCAATCTCGAACTACGGACCACGCGGTTAACGCCACTGCCCACTCCCCCATCATTCGCCGGCGGCGTCGCTGACGCCGTCCACTGGCTCCCTCCTCGCCAACGTCGACGCGAAGTCGACATGCAACGTTGCTAATTCAATCCCCCGCCGTGCGAAAGACGAAATTAAGAGAAGCGTTCGAGGAGGAGTGCCGTCCCGTTGGCCGCGCTTCCCCCGAGAGCCTCCGCTCGCTTTCACGGTTTGGGCGAGTTCTGACAATGGGGCTCGTCTTCGTGGCCCCGAGGGGGGGGGGGGCGGGGGGGGCGACCGCCGGGAAGCGATACGTCCCGAAACGCTTGGCGCAGTGCGGTCGCGACCGGTGTGGGGTTTCCCAACGACGCTCTTCAAACGGGCGGGGGACGTTTAAGATCGTCCCGTATCAAAGCAGCGCGATTGCGACCCCGAATAACCCCCCAACCCCCCAACCCCCCAACCCCTCACATTCGCTCCCGCGTCGGTCAGTAATCAAAGTGTGCCGTGCGTGCAACACGAGCCCTCCCGTGCAGGTCACTCGATACGGAAAGAACACGGCGCGCAAAGGTTGAATGGCGCTCCAGCGATCGGCCAAACAGAACTCCTCGCGATATTGAGTTGCGTTTCGAGAATCTTTTGTCTCGAAGAGAACCGTTAAGGGAGCAATAAGTGTTATCGTTTAAGCGTGCACGTTTTGAAAAAGATGCGCGCCAAAAAGTGGCAGGATTGCCACTTCCCACGCTCAAGGAGCGTCAGCCTCGCAGCAGCAAGGTATCGCTTGGAAGTCAGGCGATCCGCGTTACAATTGAGGGAGGTGAATACCACACCCCCGGATTGTCCCCAGCCACAACATTGTTAATTAGTCTCAATTATAAATCAAGAACAAAGGTACGCGCGCGCAGGAAGGTTGTTACAGTACGTTTAAACACGAGGAGGATGAGTCCAATTCCATGAAAGCGCCAGAAAATGTAAATAAAATACGTGCTTAATTTATTGTGTCCATTAAGAGGCCTATGAGATTTAAAAATAAAACCCTCCTGCATAAAACTATTTTGCAAGCTTCACAGCCAATTGATCAATGCTGTCAAGAGCCTAACGATGCATTTTCAAATGGAGGTAAGTGTTACTGGCTTGGCTGTACCCTCATAATAAGCAATTTACACAGTGGGAGACAGCCAATCCGACGCCCAAGCATTAATAGGGATGCGCTTACACGGTCACACTTTAATTAAATCAATAGTCACTAATTGTCTCTGCAATGGGTTTAGCACAATTGCCATTAATTACTGCTACAAATGATCAATTTCACTCCCGGTTTATATTAATTACTCGGAGTTATTATTGGAAAACGTTTAACTCTGAATTCTAAAGGCTTTTGCGTTCAATTAGTCAAAAATGCCCCACACGTTTGTTAAGGAGTTAAATGCACAATTAGCAGCGTGTTGTCCGCAACAAAAGCCGGTAATTAGAAAAGAGCCTCTCTCAAATTGTCCGTCGAGCATTCAATTTTACGCTTGGCCTATTTTACATAATTAAAATTGAAACGAAAATATATTATTTTCATTAAAAAGAAGATTATGATCTGAACGCACCGGGGCCAGCGTGCGATAAATTGCGTTCGATTGCAGGTGGTCAGCCTCGCGGTGCCCACATTCCTCCAGTCGCGGCGAGTCAGTCGAGCGCCGTCAGCCGCCACCAACGGGTCCGCGGGACCTCGACAAGGATCCTTGTGGAAAGGCAATCCGCGCGCAGCTGGCGCGCATACTTCCAAACTTCTAAAACACCACGCGAACACGTGTCCGCAGACGAGCAAGCGCCAAGCTCTGCGAATACACCAGAGTATCTCTCGCTTAAACCTATTGTCTGCGCGTTCAAAGTCTACGTTCCAGAGAAGCGCACGGCGAAAAACCTTTGGACCAGTGCCAAATTTCTCGCAGGCCCGCACTGGAAATCTGCGAGAGCCTGCTTTCTGTGCCAAAGCTCAAAAGTACGTAAAGAAACACAACGCACAAGCACGGACGACTAAAAATGAAGACCCGCGCAACACGCATGCTAAAATGTTACCGTCGGTGCACCGCGCATGCTTAAGTGAGCTGTCATAATTACAGACAAATTGCACATTACGATGCAGTAATGCGACGCGTGTGCCCCGAGGATAACGCCGCACCATATTTAACCAATTGCCGTGCCCATTTGGCTGCGACCGGGTTCCCTAATGGGACGCCCGCTCGCCGGCCCGACGGGAGTCGTGCCCGTTTGGGGGGGGGGGGGGGGCACGGCTCTTGCATCTGTACCGCAGGCCACGGCATAATTGCTTCCTGTTCCCGTAAGCCGATATCGTGGCCCGTAGGAGGAGGTTAGGAGAAGCAGGGGTGCATGGAAATTAAAAACATCCCGCACATGAAAAGCTCCTTTTGATTCGAATGTCGGCGGGGCAGCGGGCCGTGCGAGCGGCGAGCGAACGGAGGAGAGTCTGACTCTGGTCCAAATCAAGGACCACACATCGCGCGCCTCCACGCATGCGCGCAGGCGCGCGCGTGCGCACGTGTGCGAACGGCACTGCTCCCCGTGGCGGTATCACCCACCCACTATCTCGTGGGTCACGGTCAAACTGCGATGTCCAACCGGACATTCCGCCACCCCCCGCGCCTGCGGTCAGTGTGGCAGTGGACTTCCGTGACATCTGTTCGTTTGCGACATCGCCCGGCGCTAGACCGGCGGTGAAATTGCTACCGACGCTGTATGGCGCCGCGTAGGGAGATCCTGGTGCGAGGCAATCCGGGCGAGACTGCTGTGAGTGTTAAATAAATAAATAAACAGGAATTGGTGTGTCAGCTATCCTCTTAGTAAAATAAAATAAAAAATATATGAATCACTTTTTTACCTGGCACGTATTGATGCGTCGACTCATCATTTACTATTGATTCTTATGCTCATGAAGCACACGTTGAATCGTGTGCAAATTATATACTCATGAGTGAACAATGCAAGCTTCCCTCACTTTGTGCGATTTCATGTATTTCAACCCAAACTTCGCTATATGCGGTTCGAATTCACTCAGCATGTGACAATGCAGTGGGACGTGGGACAACATTGTCTGTATGTACGGTTTGTGTACTGTTAGTGTACTGTATCTGTACTGTGTGTGTACTGTGTGCGCTACTCGGCGAGTAGCTATCTCGTGCGGTTTCGCTTTGTGTGGCCTTTTTTCGGAATGCATCTACTACCACGTAAAGCGAGGGAAACGTGTACAACAAACATAATCTATAAGCAATACAAATTGTAGACGATAAAATGGAGGCAAAAAAAAGCAGTTTCGTGAATCGAATCGTGACCCAGAACCGTGACCCAGAACCGTGACCCAGAACCGTGACCCAGAACCGTGACCCAGAACCGTGACCCAAAACCGTGACCCAGAACCGTGACCCAGAATCGCTGTGGGAGTTGGGTGAATCACTAGAAGCCTAATTGGTATCTCATCTCTCACCCACAGTTCCTCTCCCCACACCTCACCCCTCCCCGCCACCCACGCACGAACGCTGTACGAGACTCAACCTCAACAGCCATGAAACAAGGACAGAGAATGCTCCTCACGTCTCCCTTCAGTGAGGCTGGTGGGGCTCGTGAGGTTAGTGAGGTTGGTGGGGGTGGTGAGGCTGCTGCGGGTGGTGAGGCTGATGTGGGTGGTGGAGCGGTTGGGGCTCGTGAGGTTAGTGAGCTTGGTGGGAGTGGTGAGGCTGATGTGGGGCGGTTGGGGCTCGTGAGGTTAGTGAGGTTGGTGGGGGTGGTGAGGCTGCTGGGGGTGGTGGGGCTGATGTGGGTGGTGGGACGGTTGGGGCTCGTGAGGTTAGTGAGGTTGGTGGGGGTGGTGAGGCTGCTGGGGGTGGTGGGGCTGGTGTGGCTCGTGAGGTTAGTGAGGCTGGTGATGCTGGTGGGTCCGATGATGGTTGGTGACAGGTGGTGGTGGTGAGGCTGGTGTGGGTGATGGAGCCGATGGAGGTGGCGGGGATGACCCCGCGCCGGCGCTCCTCGTTACCGTTCGCCGGGGACGGCCCCACCGCCGGCGGGGCCTCCAGCGTCGCCCCACTGCTCGGCACCCGACACCGAGAAGGAGCGCTGGTGAAGGCCCTCGGGTCGTGCCACGAACGACACGAGGTTGATGCCGCTGGTGGAGCGCTCGGCCTGCACGCCGCCTGGGGACAGATAATCGTGGTCAGGGGTCGGTTTGTGGGGGGTGGGGGGGGGCAGAGGAGATGAGAAGCCGCGAGGTGATGTGACGGTACGGTCCTGTACCACGAGAAAGGGGCACGAGGCGCTGCGCAGGAGAAATGGAACAGAAATGGATTTGCAAAGGAAGTGCCAGGATTACAAGCGGGACGGCTGACAATACTCAATGAGCTGTGGTGGATGATCCAAGATTTGAATGAATTAGATCACTAGGACTCAAATAAGAGGATCGTAGTTTTCATCAATTTGAGGTCTTCATCGGACTGATGAAGACTCCGATCCCCCACACGCGACCGTCGCAACGTATAGATTATTAAAACCGTAGGGTTGGTGTGCCACAACTTGTTTGTCAACAAGAACAAAAGTGTCCGTGCAGCCCGGTCAATGTTGTTCGCGCGTCCAGTTTTAACGACGGCAGAAACTACCTTCAAAATATATGCGTCGTCACTCGGCACGGCCTATCACGGAATCGAGAGGCTGGAAATACCCTTTCCGTCGTTGTCATTAACGGCAATTCACGGTTGAAGAATGCACAATGAGTGTCGGGGCAATTGCTCCATGAAAGCCACCCTTTTGCGGATCCAAAAAAATGAGCAGTCGCTCCTGGTGCTTAGCTGCAATCGGAGAGCGGTGGACACACTCGCTCTGAACAAGAGCCGCCGCGTGTAACTTTTGCAAATCACACATTTTCTTTTCTGCAAGCAATTGTCTGGTGATGATAACGACAATGAAGTGTTTGCATTATGATTTTCAACACCGCTGCCAACGCGACTCCTGGACGTTTATTAGAGCAGTGTCGTGTGTGGCATTAAAGCTTTTTTTTTCGCGTATTGCCAATCATTCCCCCATAACAAAGAGGCTTATATCAATGACTAAACAAACGTAGCTTTTATTGCCTACCAAAAATGTTAATGCATGAAATGATGCATCGTGCATAATGATTATAGTGAAGCCAAAAAATTCGGAGTTATTTCCTCCTCAAATGAGCATCCAGGCAGTGCTCATCTCCCGTTTACAGCCCTGAGTCAGCGTTGGAAATTCCACATTCCTATGGCGGGGGCGAGTCCATCCATAGCATCCTGACCTTAACCAAACAGTGGTTACTCGTTTTATCGACCCTGTTTTATTGATGTGTGAGTCAACCCCCAACCAGGATTTGAACTTTCCGATTGTGAGCTGCTCGCTCTTCCGCTGAGCTGGAGTAATGATCCCATTATGCACTGCCAAGGAGCACTGTGGGTAAAAGCATACTTATAAGGTCAACTCCGTTCAGTGTCTCCACCTATTAACAACATGCCAATAGGCTGATAGACTGCAACGTATATCTCGGTTGATATGCAGGGAGGAGTGCAACAATACGTGCGCTTTTACCAATATCGTTTTTGCACAGCAAGCTGTTCTCAAAAGCACTGCGATTCCGAATTCTTGTTCGTTAAATTGTGGCAGCATGTGGCGTGGGGTGGAGCCAATCCCACGCCAGCTTACTTAATGACCCGCGACTGATGCGTTCAATTAGCGACGAGCGCACCCACAAACGAACGTCGGCACTTGGAAACTATTGCATTTACCGTCTGAACGTTCACTTCGGAAGAAAAAATAAATTCTGGATCTTTAACAACTTTGTCAACAATTGGCGTGGCGCATTAATTGCGTCGGCGGCACGGGTGTTGTTTGTTCGGCAACAAAAGTTAGCATTTTCTTTTCACGGGAAACAAGAACAAAAAAACGTATTCCTGCATCGTATTAATTGCATTATCATGATTATTTTATTTACTCATTAATACGGTTTTTAAACTCGCGTACCAAAACCTAATATTCCTTCATTTTAATCACACTCTCCGTTTAATGAGAAACAAACGCACTGCCACTAAAACGATTGCAACGACTAAACAATTTGCACGAGGCAGCCACCCCAGGACCCGTGGAAAGGCCAAGTTTCCTCTCCTCTAAGAGCCTCACCCGTACATTGCCACCCGAACACGGGGTTACCACTCAAAATACCAACCTCTAAATTCGAACAAAACAAACGGTCACATATGTTGTGATAAAACAACATTTTATATTAACTGTCATTGGGATTAGCAACACAATGCTAAAACGAGATTTTTTACTTTATTTAATCATCAAACTAAAAGTATACAAGGAACATTTTTTTTATTTGACCAGGTTAAGGCCCACTGAGCTATACCGCTCTTTTCCAGAAGCGACCTGGCCACAAATGATAGCTCACCAAAGTGGCTTATCATGCGGACATTCATTGGAACCAAATACACTAAACACATATTTCTGAATGCGGAGGGAAAACTTGGACCACGAGGAGACCACGCAAACTCCAGATAAACAGGTGTCAGGGGTCGGGATCGAACCCACGTCCTCCTTCATACCAGGCGAGGTGGTTAACATCTCGCCACCGCGATGTTCGGGGGCTAGGTCCTGCAATGGCCGTCTCGTCCTGGGGAAACTAAAGCCCACACCGAGCCACTCGCTGGTACACACCGCGGAGAGAAGCAACGACAGGCGTCGGCACTCACGGGAAAACCCCGGGGGGGGGGGGGGGTCCTGGGGACGAGAGTGGAAACGACATTCGTTGCCGTTTAAAAATATTTCCGTGCTCACCGGCACCCATGGAGGCCGAGGTGGACAGCTGCGTGTTGCTGGGGTCCTTGGTCAGCCCGTTCTCCTTGGGGCTGGACCCGGGGGCCCCCGCGTAGGCCCGCGGCGGACGCTTACCGGGGACCTTCACCGTGGTGCGTAGCAGGTCGATCTCCTTCCCGTGCACGTTCTGCATATAATCCTGCCGGGGGCAAACGGGCCACGGCGTTTAGCAATCATCTGGCGCATGCAGCATGCACAGCCCTTCGTCAACACACTACTGCGGTGATCGGCCTCCGCGTGGCCTCCCCGCACGGACGTGTCAGTCATCGGAATCGTTTGACCGTACTTCAGCAAGCTGGTCAGTGCGAGCGGGGTTTCACTTCGCACCGAATATTTTCTGGGTCCCTGGCAGACTTGAGCAGGCACGTGACTGGTCGGCACAGTGAGCAGTAGACTCTATATTACGTGCCAAGTCGGACAGACTGGGCTAAAATTAAGCCTGAGTGTGGGTTACTGAAGGGGCGATTTCAGTTCAGATGTCGCCGCCACCGATGCTAGCCTTGGCCGGGAGTCAAACTTAGTTCGCAGGCTTCATTACGCAATGTGCCCAATCACTGTGGCAGCGCTCCGCAAGCATGTGACGCAGCACGAACTGGTTTAGTATGCACTTGAAAGAAGGATGATTGGTAAATCTGGAACGAAGCGCTGTGGGTGGGACACGAGGATTGAAGTTTGGGAACGCCGGGGTGCAGCATCGCGTGACGCGGAACAACGCACGACGCACAGTGACAAATCACACGCGATGGACATACGACACAGGGCGACACATCACACTGCCGTGTTAGGTGACACGTTGATAGGTATGGCGCGTCACACCACAGGCATGGGAGACCACAAGTAGGTTTCTACTTTGAGAGTACGGGTCAAGTAAAGTTTTGAGGTCAAATAAAGTTCCAGTTGCGTTTGAAACTAATCTTAAAGAGACCTCGTCTCACGGAAATAACAGAACATCCTTCACAGCAATTGCAATTTGCGTTTCACTGCAGCCTCGGCACAAAGGAAAACGAAAAGGTACGCGCGGTAATGGCACGACTACTGCAACAGAGCTGCGTCTGTCTTTGAATAAAATACAAATGTCCCGTTCGCTGTTGTAATTATAATCTTTTTTTTCTTTCAGTTTTACAGAAATATGAAGAAACTGTTTAACATCTTGAACAGCAAAAAGGGGGCAGTGCTGGGTGCTCGTTACAACGAGTCGGGAATGGCCCGCGCGTAATTACTTTCATACGGTTTATGATTATGAGAGCTCCCGATCAATTGCGGAATCGGATAATTAAGGAACCAATTACGCTATTTTAATCTGATCAGAAGAGCCTGTGTGTGTGTGTGTGAGCTGCAATCAGCGCCATAGTCACGTAAGTAATGGATTGCCAGACGCCCCTCTTTCAATTGGTTTAATTACCTGTGACACGTTAATAGCTTCTGATGGTGGGAAATAAGCGAATGTCTGCAAAAGCTAACCTTCTCATTATTATAACTCTCGTAATTTAATTTCCTATTTTATCTCCTTTGTTCATTCAATTACGCAGCCAAATTAGCACATGCTATTCCTATCACAGAGTGATACAATTTTGCAATATTAAGCACAGAATGAGAGCAATTACTTAAAAATAAAGTCATGCACTCAATTCAAGAAGCTGCCGCAATAATGAATTAATTTGTAAACCAAGTTTATTATCCCGACTCGAAATGCAGTGAGCCGTCATTACGGTGATCAGCGCCTCTGGCCACACGGCCTGGAATGTCTCCCAATCTCATCAGATCTCAGGAGCTCAGCAACGCTGAACCTGGACAGTCCTCCGACGGGTTTACCGGCTTCACAATCCATTGTTGTTCTACAGTGTGGTCCAGATGTCTTGTGACCCACAATGAATTGACCCCCCCCCCCGCCCCCCTTTAAACGTAGTTTTCCTTTGCTTAGTCGATTCTGTTTTCACGCCCATTAGTATCCATAAAAAAATATTAAGTTCTAGAGAATTAAATGGGGGGGGGGGGGGGGGCGGGTAACAAGTCATCTGAACCACCTTGCGCACACACAAACACAACCCCCCACCAACTTCCCCATCCCACTCTGACCAGTATGGTGAAGTATGGTCAAATCATCTTTGGGGTCAATTAGCCCATGGGGAGGTCCTCATTCAGCAGTGGATTGACGAAAATGGCATGTACACGTAGAAGCCAAACACTCATTCATGGAATCGGCCAAACATCCACATGGCGTAGACACCCTCCTAAAAGGTCTTGCTCCCCAGCGAGGCTTTCGTGGATAAATAATGACGCAATTATTCTTATTTTAGTCCATCAGGCAGCCACTAGTTGGAATACATCGTATTTTATTTAAATAGCACAAAACGCATCTACTTATATTTTCTACAAAGGTGAAATTCCCCAAAGTAAAAACGCACCGCGAGACCTCGCTGTGACCCTTAGATCTGCGAGGGCTGATCGGCTGGGCTCATAAGCTCATTTAACATCGCCCCCCCTGCCACTTCCGCCCGCGTTGCGTGGTGAGCACCGCTTATTCCCCCCCGCCTCCCCCCCCAGATTGTTTGTCCACATTTGCTAAGTCGCTTATTGTTCTACAAGGCTCTGCCGAACAAGCACCGCGCCCCCCAGGCATGGAAAGACTCCTTAAGTCCATCCATAGGATCAAGGCCCAGCCACTTGGGTCCTTTCTAGGATCTGCTGGAGGCTGTGTTGGGCCTGCCTGCCTGCTACTTACGGTTATCCGCTATCTGAGCTCTGACAAGAGGGTTTTGCATTTAAGACAAAAACTAAACTCGACTGGAATATAAAGAGTATACATAAACAACTGATTATGTCTGAATTGTGCAATGTTTCCGTGTTGTAAAGTTTAAAAAGTTGGTTTTATTGATGTTTGTTGTGTTTGCATCTTTCTCCGCTTATGCCCATGGCATGTTCTGCGCCGTTGTATCTTTGATAAAATACTACTTTGGAGGAAAAATATATACGGGGAATTGTGTTTAATTTACAATTGGGCACGAGAAGTGGATTTAACTTTATCAGCAACTCGTCGCTCTGAATGTTCAGAAACGTCGGACACCATGTCGACCGAACATGCGGTACAACCCGAAAGAAAAAAAAAAGACATATAAGCAAGTCGTTACTTAAAATACGTCTGCATGGCAGGAAAGGTGGCTCTGGTCAGGGACACTCAGCCAGCGCAAATGAGATTTCACGTTCAAATCTGTGTTTCAGCTGTATGTGATTAAATTGGCTTCTCCAGTGTAGAAAGCTGACGATCTCAATCCAGTAAACGATGACTGCCCCAAAAATCCATGAAATTAAATTTGTTTCCTCACTTAATTTTGAGCTGGTGATCTGGGTTGTGTGCTTTGCACGCACAGTATGGTGATGTCACGTGACATGCATGCAAGGTATGATGGGTAGGCCGATCCTTAGGTCACAATTGTGCTTTTTCCTGTCGAGAAATTACTGCTGTGTTTCAAATGATTATTATTGCTACTACTGTTTGTTACTTCCAACCTGCACACACTCTTTGTGTGATTTGTATCTCATCATTTCTAGAAAGTCTTAGAATTAGATTTAACCAAGATGTGATTCTACACATGTATTGTGAGCGCGGTACCCGGCTTTAATGCATTAATCGACGAACCGTTACAAACCGAGGCCATGCCCATCAGCTCTGATACGTCAGTAAATTCAGCCGTTGTGACTGGCGCTCCTGGATGCAACATTTGTGAATTTTACATTGAATACAAAAAGTTTGTCTATTTCTCAATATCCAATAATGGGTAACTGATCCAATGCCAAATTGATACTTTTCACCTGTAAACATTCTTAAAATTAATTCTAGATTTGAAGTTTTCGTGACTGCAAGGATTCATACTCACTGTACGTACGTGACTTTACCGAAAAAACCAAAGAGTATGCGTTCTTAAAATTACATTTCAATCAAGGCCCCATGGTGAATAGTCTGCAAATCTAGTCTGCAACTATTCACTCAAAAAATCACGTTTACATAAATACGTTAACTTTTCAGGCCACAGTGTTATCGACGAAAGTGTTGAGCGACTGCGAGGCGTGTCTGCGGAGGGCCAAGCGGGCGAGATCAGTGGGTGGCGAGGCCTCCGGACGCAAGTAGCTGGGGCCGCTCGCTCACCCACAGGCCACAGCCACCGGCTATATCACTGCCAGATTAAGCGCCTAACAATCCACTGATCCTCGAGACCAACACGGGTTTCCTAGGAAAATCCCGAGAGCAGCCATTGTGCGAGGGGATTACTGGGGTGGATTAGCCCGTGGGTGCCGTGCGTGCGGGCTAGGCCGGGTTAACTAGCGGTCACAGATCCTCAGAGCCTCCGTGCCCCTCGCCGGATAAGCAGGCTCAAGGAAGAGAACAACGCAAGCAGTTTTATGTGCCCACGGAAGAGATCTGTGACCACCGGCGCTTGCCGTGTAAATGAGAGGCCAATTATGATCTACGCCAGCTGCAGTCGTGCCACAAAGGCTTTCGCCGTCACTATCATCATCACGTCCGCAAAGTAATGCTCGTAAATTTAAAGGAATAAACTCAGACCGCAGTGATCATGTGCGTTCGACAGGATGGCAATTAATTATATTTCTGGAAAGGTAGTAAATTGGAGTACGAGCGCAAGCCCACGTGAACTGATGTTAACTCGTCGGAACAAATGCAGTAATGGGGGGGGGGGGGTGGCGAGGGGGGGGGATGGAGGGGGTAGCAGCTCTGGGTAACTGATGCGTGCGGCACGATCGCTGCTCACATGCAGGCTCGGGTGGTAGGTGAGGATGCCGTTGTCGCACAGGGTGACGTATTTCTTCTTCCACTCCTTGTTGAGCGACTTCCCACTGCGCTTCAATAGAACTCCCTTGGAAAGGGGGGTGGGGGGGGGGGGAAGAGACAAAAAAGGACATTGTCTTGCGCGCCCATGAATGAAATATCCATTGTACGTTAGCGCAGCATTAGCGACGTAATTGATGCCAGAAAAATTACAGAGGGGATATCAGACGGTCTTGAAAATGCACGAGAATTAGCGTTCCGCTGGGCACGCTCGTTAAGGGACAAATGCCCGCCTTTCACGACCGGCATTGTCCACGAAAAGCGCTTTGCTCCAACGCGGCATTCCTCATTCGGACAGCGACGTTTGTGCCCGACTGGTGAGAAGGAAGCGAAAAGACCACGCGAGCGTGCCGCGTCCTCCTGCAGGATAAACATTTCAAACCGCCAAGTGAATCTCGGCTCTTGACTTTGCGTGACTTCCCCCCAACCGTTACACCCGGCGAGTCAGAATGCAATCTCTTGTGCTCCCCTGCCCATTGACTTTCCGGCGGCGGTGGCGGCCGTGGCGAGAGGAGGCAGCGTGGCTAATGTGACCCCGTTTAACCCCGGCGCCTCGGCCCGTCCCACCCCCGGAATAAAACTGCCCTTTGTTGCGGCGCTCATCGCTCACTCGCGGAGGCACTTCCCAGCCCGGCCGGGAGAGAAAGACGCGTGGGGGGACATCTTTTCCCAGCAGCCCCGTCGTCGCGGCCGCCACCACCACCGCCACCGCTGCGTTTCCACGCCCCTCAGGGATGCGGGCCCCACCTCATGAATCTCCTATTAATCACACGCCGGGGACACGTCCCCAGCCCACTGCCCTTTCCTTCACTTTCACTGCGCCGCTTATAGTAGTTGGTAGGAGTCATAGCAATAATGATGATGGGGAGTGGTGGTGCAATGGTTAGCACGCCGTTCGATGAACCACCTAGTTGATGATGTTTAACAAAATACATTATCTATCCCAGTGTAATGCCGACCCAAAACTATGCCCGCTTATCTTAAAATATTTACATGGCGAGCGCACTGCATTGTAAACCCGGTGAGCTGAATTTAGCGATTCCCTTCCGTCGCTAACATCCAATGACAAAGTGGTCCTGGGCTCCCCACCTTCAGCAACGTGCACCGACCAGCACAACCGTCCTTGGGGTACGACGAATCAGGGCGACCGCCCTGGGCCCCACTCTTTGGGGGAGGGGGGCGCCACGCTTCGACGTCACGGTGTCAGATGATGTACTTCCGGTTTAGTTTGAAGGCATTGGGGGGGCCCCACATGGTGGGATTTGCTCCAGGTCCCGCACCACCCCCCCCCCCCATGGGCGTCCCTGCTAACCAATGTAGTGAAGCATGGTCAAACAACCACAAAAACCGACACGTTGCAGGGAACTCTTCATCCAGCAGTGGTTAATAAAGGGACGTGCGAACAATAGTTCATAACAAACAAAGCCCAAAGCCCCCACACTTGCGATCCACCGCGGCAGCCGCCGATGGCGGATTTTTTAATCAACGCATCGTGGCGACAGTCGGAGGCACGCTCGCTCGAGAGGCGGGGTAAAGCTGGGATCTACCGCGTTTGGCTAGACAACAAATTCGACATTAAATATTCAGTTTTCGCCGGTCCGCATAAAATATTTCACTTTCGCCATCTTGCATGAAATATTTAATTGCGTTCGTTTTACGCCGCACAATAACACATTTTCCTTTGATGCGTCTGAGTTAATGCCAGATAAAGCGTTTTAATAATGCAGTTCAAGCGAAGGCGGTGGGAGACACGTGGCAGGGACTATGGAAGAAATGGAGGAGGAGGGGGGGCATTTTCTCCATTGTCCATAATTATACCTAATCATCATCACTCTTTCTGAAGCCACTTACACCTAACGGAGCCTTTTAGTGCAGAAATGAAGCCAGATTGTTGATGAGATATGATTATAGAGCCTGCCCGCGATAGCACTGTCACACCAGAGGAGTAAAAAAAAAATTAGAAAAAGAGATCAGAACGCTTACGCCAATTCATTACGGATTAACGGCGCAAAATACAGAGCGGAGGGAAAGCACGCGTCGGAGTAAGGCCCTGTTCCGAAGCAGCTGCCAAAAACCAAACTACACAGTGACTCGAAAAATGTAAATCTATTTTTTATACAAATAACATTGTTGCCGTCATAAAGACGAGGCCTGAGGCTGATTTAACTGCAATCACTTTGAAAATTGGCGATCATAACACAAAGCACGGTGACATGTTTTTTTTTGTTAAAGAACACATTCGTGCGGCACCGGCGATGCCTGCAATCATAAACAATTATAGGCACGCAGGCAGGTTCACACAGAGCATCAATCCGCTTGATAGTACGCTAATAGGGGGCCGTCAAATGGCACATATTGTATTGTCCTATCGATCTCCCAAGTCTCAATTCTGAAAACCTATCCATATTTATATTGCGACAAACGACATCAATTAAAGGGCGGTATTGGCCGCGCTCTCGTTATGCACGGGCCATGGAGCGCCTGTCCCTCCCCCCCCCCCCGTTTATCCCCATTAGCATGCTGCCCCGCTCGTGATGGATGGAACGCCAAGACGCCTTTTTCCAGCCTCTCAATGCCTGTGGCAGGATAAAGGGCCGATGGGAGGTCTCTTGCCTGCCTTTCTCATGGCTTTATAGGGATCTGTGCCTCTGCTCTGTGCCGCTGGGCCAGCCCTCGCATGGGGAGGGATGGGGTGGGGGGGTTTAATCCCACTAGAAACAGGCATTCTCATCCCGTGCCGCTCTTCCAAGCCTCGGGGCCCGTCCACCTCCAGCCCCCACGAAACACAGGTCGCCCGATTTCTGGTCCTCACTCTGCTGAGGCAGCGGCTTGTCAGAGGTCGGGAGCGGGTCAACAGGGGATTAAGATAACCCCGACAAAATGACTTAACGACCAGCGGATCCTTTCCACCATAGCCCCCCGGCCGTAGTCTCCCCCCCCCCCTCACCACGACCCACTCCGTTAACTGGGCCGTTGATCAACAGACACAGAAGGAAGTTTTCTCCAGGCTTGCGGCTACATCATGAATTTGCATCAGGGAGCGGGCCGCGAGTTGGCGTCGAGTCTGGGTGAATTTACCTGCAGAGCAGGCTGTGCGTTCAGGAGTGTGATAATAAAGCGACATTGGCTCGTAAAGGTACAGAGAGAGTGCCGAGAACATTTACTAAAAGGGCAAACTGCACAGTCACCGACGGAACCCGTTTAGTAAATGATTATCGAGCAAGGTTTTTTTTCCTGGCATTTCCATTTTAATGAGAAAAATTAGAAGATGTTTTAATTATCACATTTAATGCTCCGATGAAACATATTTTCGCCTAAAAATATATATATTTAATCAAAGACATTTTGTCACATCACAAGCAGAGCTGTGCATGGATGAGAATACAATTACACAAACAAGTCTGAGATCATTTGCCACGAAATGTAAAAAGGGAACAAAATATTCAATTATTTTAAAGATCGCAAATTGACGAAAAGAAAATCCAACGAAGCACGGTGTTTTTTTACACTTATAAACCGCACTTTGAAAAAGTAATTAAACACCTACTGTACACGGCGTACATAAACACGGGCGCAAATACGTCTGTGCGTGCTTGTATAAAGCGGAAATTTGAAAAGGGTTCATGCGAGACGTGTCGTTGCCACGATTTATGTGCCCTTGTCGGCCCCCTATTCTGCCGAGCCTTACTAATGGAAACAACCGCTCGCAATTAGACAAGATTAATCCGGAATGGTAATGGCCTGTGTGATGAATATGGCCTAGCCCTAATGGCCCCGCTGATTGAAAAGGGGCCGGACGTGCTGTCTCGTTAGTAATATATATTTGTTTCGATCTCCCCGCGCTGCGGACGCAACAGCATGCGCTCACGCGTCCTGCTTGTTCGTGTCCTGTTCACTCGCGTCCTGTTCATATCGTGTTCATATCCTGTTCGCATCCCGCTCATAACCTGCTCGCTCGCACCCTTGCCGCGCGCTCATGTCCTGTTCATATCCTGTTCGCACCCTGCTCGCTAGCGTCCTGCTCGTATTCGGTTCACGTCCTTCTCGCGTCCTGTTGTTGAAGTGACAGTGTCCAGTAAAACCTCTCAAAGTCGGACTCGAGTAAGCCGGAATCTGAGCTGATGTGCAAATACATAAGATGTAAAACACACGTGTTTAAACATTACAAAGTAGAACACCAATTTCTGCAGTCAATCCTCAGGCATCCGTCTCACGCATCGACCATGACCAATCCACTGCTGGATCTGTTACACTCAGTAGAGCAAAAGCAATCGTGATAAGAGGAAGAAATTGGAGAGCGAGAGAGAGAGAGAGAAAAAAGGACACGTCTGGACGAATGCAAGCGGCTTGCACGAAAGACGCTCGAGCGAAGGACTTGTGTTTTACAAGCTCTGAGACACGAAGCACGAGGAGCAAGAACAACAGGCTGGGAGCCGGCGAGCCTGGGAGAACCGTTTGGCTCACTCCGGGCGATAATAAACCTCCTGGAGCGCACGTTTTAATTTTTTTTTCTCTCTATCACTGCCGCTCGCTCTCATTAGTGACCGGCGGACGAGCACCACTGCCCCCCCCCCCCACACACACACACCGCCCCCCCCCCCCCCCCCCAGCAGGGAGCTCACACCACCTGGAGTTCATTACAGCGGTGATTATGACTGTGATTAAACCGCTCACACTGCAATACACAAAGACAAAGATTCCCCAAACTGCCTTTAACAGACTGTTAGGGCAAGTGCTGTTAGCGAGCATCTATGTAGGGCCGGCACGGCACACGAGGGGGTGGGTGGCCAACACCACGCCCGGCTGCCTTTGTCTCCCCAGTGGCGATGTTTACACACTGCACCAGGTACTCATTTTAGGCTTAGTCAGTCTAGGGGAGCCCCAGGACCGGTTCAGATAATCGTCACCGGTGTTGGCCATGAGCAAGAATCAGAACTTGGGTCGCCGGGTTAGTAGCGCAGTGCGCTGACCGCTACACTACCGCTCCCCCTGCAATGCACACACAGACGTATGGGGAAAAATACTGGCAGAGATTCCACCTCCACCCACTCCTGCCTCCACACCCCCCCCCCCCCCCCGAATAGACTCCTGGAGCAAGTGCTACCTGCCGTCAGTGAGCACATACTGACTAAACTAAACTACTTTTATTTTACCAGGTAAGGCCCACTGAGCTATATTGCCACAAATGATAGCTCGACTAAGTGGCTTATAGTTGGCAAATACTCTAAACGCGTGTTGATTCTATATGTGGAGGGAAAATCTGGAGGACCTGGAAAAAAAAATCCACACGACCACGGGGAGAACATGCAAACTCCAAATATACAGGCGTCAGGGTCGGGATTGAACCCTCGACCTCCTGCAGTCCAGACATAGATCAAAGATGTTATCAGGCCACTAGGTAGTTGACAACATGGCTGGCATGGTGATCAAGACCGTGGTGTGGCCAGCACCGTAACCGGCCGCATTTATCTCCCCCCCCCATCCCCCAGTGATGATGTTTACACGCTGCACCATAAGCTGACCTCGGGGAGGTCAACAATGGTTCAGATCTTACTTATCAATTAAATATTTGAAATATTCGTAGCACGCTGTGCCAAACCACTGCACCACCACTCCCCACATCTGGCCACAACACACGTACACACAAAAAGTACAACAGGCGCCATTCGCCACTAAGTGACGTTGATGTAACCACAGATCTTGTGCCACCGGAGGTGCAAGTACAGCAAAAGGACAAAGACCTCTCATATATTCTTGATCATATGTTCAGGGAAAAAATGCAGCCTGATCCCAAAGAGTGACCGAGAATGTGAGTAAATGAGTGAGCGAGCCAGTTAATAAGTGGGTAAGCGAGTATGTGAGACAGTGAATGAGTGAGCGAGCCAGTGAATGAGTAAGTGAACAAGCGATTACGTGAGAGAATGAGTGACTGAGCGAGTGAGAGAATCAGTGAACGAGTCAGTGAATGAGTTAAGTGAGCAAGCGATTATGCGACAGTGACCGAGCCAGCGAGTGAATGAGTGAGCGATCCCGTGAATGAGTAAGTCAGCCAGCGAGTAAGTAAGCGTGAGAGCGAGTGACCGCGCAAATGAATGAATGAGTGAACAAGTGAGCAAGCGAGCTAGCGAGCGAGTGGGTTGAGCGAACAGGCAGATGGGCTGGGACGGTCGGGACGGGCGATAAAGCGAGCTGATTAAAAGACTGGGTGTCGTAACGGGGCCATAACAGGTGGAGTCCTGCCCAGATGGGACGCCGCACCAGGCGGCCAGGAGACACGGCTCGCGTGCCGCGTGGCCGGGATGTCAGCATATGGTGCCGTCTAATCCCGCGCACAATCACCCACCGCAGCGTGTCGGGGAAGCTACTGCCAACAAGGGCATCAGGGCGCTCGCGCACCTCCCGTGCCGCCACTCCTGACAAATGACTCGTGTTCTAAGCGCGGGTTAAATTTTCTACACGGCTCTGTTCGGATCGGCGAGCCGTAAATACATCCACTGCAACTGGGCTCGCTATGACTGTGGCTACCAGACCACGTAGACTCCAGCCTGCCAACGATGCCGGAGAATATTGCGGTGGGAAAGTGATGCCTGCGTCTATGAATGAGAACGGTGTTTTAGTGGGAGGGGAAAGATTAAGAAGACACCGTTGTGTTTACTTATGGCTCTTGTCGCCCCCTCCAGCCATCAGGATCTTCTCGACACCACAGGTTCCATTGATAAGTTGACAAAACGGGAGAAATGCATCGCAGCATGGCATCACTTTGGCGAATGGTGCCTACGTTTGTGAAGAAAACGGCGGCAGGATTTAATTAAAATATCTGGAAAGTTCACATCATAGAGGTTTTTGGGTGAGGTCGTATATAGATATAAATGTGTCGTTAAACCCGCCACCACCACCCGGCACAGCCAATTAATAAGGTTTGTCACGTATACAAAACATGCAAATTCTTTACTGGTACAGCACACCAGTGTGTTGGAGAGCAAACCCACAAGATTTACAATTCGAGTACAACGTTTCACCGATAATCACAACCAGTCTCATCAAGCGCTGAACTAGTAATGAATTGGCACGTTCTGTTTACGTGACAAACATTACTAATGGGCTGTGTCGGGTGGTGGCGGGTTTAACGACACATTTACATTTACGCGATCTAACCCCAAAAACCTCTATTATGGATAATATTGGTCGCGAAAGCTTACGTGTTAAACTGGAGAGTTCACGTTTGCCAAAACATGAATTAGGGCACCATGCACGTTAGATGCATTGAGTGCATGATAGGGCCATGTGGTCGTATTGTTCACACTGGCCAGGATCTTCGTTTGTTGGGAGAGCGGCACATGCCTCTGAATTAATATATTTTGTCTCCGTTATATAATTATATCGTGATGCTTGCATCATCTTGGTCATGCGATGAAGAGGTTAACATACTGAACTCTCACAGAGAGCAGTCCATCACGTTGTGTCAAAGAACAGTCCCCGGGAGATGACGTCATAGAACTACTACTGAAGCCCGTTCAATTGCCTCTTATCCACACTGGGGGGTCCCGCACATTTCATATTTCCTCCAAAGAATTCTTATTGCATGGCAATCAACCCAAGTGGAGACCATCAATTGCTTTAACACTGCGAATCCAGTTTAACCACGGGTGGCTGACACCTGGATTCGAACCCAGGTACTCAGCGGTGCCAGTTCAGTGTCTTGACGCGGCCAGCCCAGCGCACGCACCTGCTTGATGGGGATGGCTCTGCCACTGCCGATGTTATCGGACTTCCCTTCTCCGCTCTTCTTCTCCTTCTCCGTGTCGCTGCCCTTCCGTGACTGCAGAGGAGGACGTGGTGGGGAGGGGGGGGGGCGGGCGAGGAGTTGGGGCGAGAGGGGAGCGGTTCGGAAGGAGGAGGCTCATGAGTGCAGGACAACTATGACTGCTGTGTATTAGAATGAGGGGGGTCCATGCAATTCCCCATGTCCCATTTACTATTACACACAAGAGTTTTAATTTCAATTACACTATCATTTCATCGTTTCAATTACATTTCCCCAATTCAACCTGGTAACAGCCTGTAGGAGAGTGTTATTGCTTTCTTATTAAGGTAGTATATAGGTGTAATTGTAATTTAGTATCGATGGTGATTACATTTTTACAATTTTAGGAATGAAATCTGCAAAAGTGCAAAGTAGTTTGGAAAATACCCTTTTCAGAATGACGTTCATGGTGCTGCAACAACACACCTACGAAAAAAATTTACCCTTTCCTGGTCACCAAATGATGACCATCTATCCACATATATTACTATCTGACCTATTTCTCAGAATTCTTGGGATTAAGGGGGAATGCTTGCTTGGGGCTTCAAGTAACCAACCTCAAATTTCAAAATGACACAATCCACCTGAAAACCCAAGTTAACAAACAAAACCATCCACAATTATTATAAACCCTATTGTCCTCAACTGCCTGAGCGGCCCGATCAATGGCCTAGCTATCGGGTGTACAGGCGGTGCAACTGCACCGGGGCCCACGGACCGGAGGGGCGCAGTTTGCCGGGTGAAATTCTACGGGAGGCCCCATTTAATTCCTTGCAAGCACCAGGGCTCGCACCAAGCCCGCCACGTGGCTCGAGCCTGGTCCGGGCTATTGCGCCTGTGTGCGTGTGCACCTGTGCGAGCGAGCGAGAGAGAGAGAGAAAGCGGCAGCCTTTCTACCGTGAAGAGGTTGGAGCGGCGCTTGGACTGCTTGCGCACGGGCGTCGGCGTGCCCGAGGAGGAGGGCACCGTCTCAAGGCGCAGCTCCTTCTGGCTCGTGCTGGGCGTGGAGGGCATCGACGAGGAGCAGTCGCTGGCGCCGCCCCCGCCGCCACCGCCACCGCCACCGCCACCAGTGCTGTTGCTCGCTATAGTCACCTGCAGACCACGCGTGTCCAGAGCTCATGTCACGGAATATTTCGAGTGCTCAGGCAGCCAATTCGAAGCCAGCTGCCTCTCTGTATGCATGCATGTGGCACTTGGTTCGCGCCGTACGTAGCCAACCGTGCTAATCGGTGGAGGCCAAAGCACCTAGAAGTAGTGAATAGCGATTTACAGCCCGATGTCAGTCCACCAATCGATGAAGGCCTCCTGTGGTGGTTATTGGATCATATTTCACCGTGCTGGTCAGTGACGGTGGGGAGAATTGATGTTGGAGTGTGAAACAGTCCAACCATGAATTTGGCTGCACTGCCCTCTGCTGTCAACATATGGGACCAGCTCGTGATTGATTTTTTAATAAATACTCTCCACATGCTCTCGGCTGATTGTGTTTTTATATATTTACATGGTTCGACACGTTACAAGCTACATCTGACGTATTTATATTTTTGTGAGATCCCAAAACGTGGTCTCAAGAGATTGTGGAGCGACGTGGGCAGAAGGACTAGGCACATAATGACGCGTCGATCCATCGATTTAAACAGACTCCAAACACCAACGACACGTGCATCAAACCATGTCTTCAGATCAGTGGCCTAGCTATCACGTGAGCAGGGTGCTGGGACTGCACTGGCTCCTCCCACTTCTTAGACGTGGCCCAGACCCCTCCAGTTTAGGAAAACGGAATTTGCCACGGGACCCCAATTCATTCCTCGCACCAGGGCCCATGCCAATCACACTCCACCACCGGCCCCGCGGACGAAGTGGTAATGGGGCCACTACATCGTGTGATGCATGCCCATCCACCTTTGTCTCCCCAGCTAAGACGCTGGTGCACGACAGGCCGACTCGACGTGAGGTTCACCCACACCGTCGTCCGCACACGGCAATCGCTATCACTGCACATGGCTCAGAGTGAAAAGTGGGTCACTGGGATTAATGCAGAGTGCAGGGTTGATATGACACGTATACGCACTTATGTATTCATACATTCAAACACGCTGGAATGCACTCACACACACATACAAACACATGCAAATACGTACATACACACACATGCACAGAGACAATTGCACATGCACTTATTTGCACGTGCAAATACTTACAAAGATCCCCCGTAAAGCCTTAACAGACTGTAGGGGCAAGTGCTGTTAGCGAGCACCTATGAAGGCTGGAACGGTACACGAGGGGGTGGGTGGCCAGCACCACGCCCGACCGCCTTTGTCTCCCTAGTGGCGATGTTTACACACCTCACCAGGTACTCATTTAAGGCTGAGTCGGCAAATACTTACACACACACACAAACATGCATATGCACAGACACACTCACCTACACACATCAGTACTTGCACATCCACAAACTCCTCCACACGCAGACTCGTTCTTAGACACACGCACGCTCATGCACACACTTAACCACAAACTTGCCAACAGGCACTTATGCACACTCATGTATACTCACGTACTCTCATGCAATTGCAACAAGCATATACACGCGGTCATACATACATAGACACTCACCTAGCTGCGTGCACACAAAAGCAAACATTTCCTGTTGTAGCCTTAACAAACTGTAGGGGCAAGTGCCGTTAGCGAGCACCGATGAAGGCCAGCACAGCACAGGAGGGGGTGGGTGGCCAGCACCACGCCCAACCGCCTTTGTCTCCCAAGTGGCGATGTTTACACACCGCACCAGGTGCTCATTTGAAGCCGATTCGGCCTAGGGAAGGTCCAGGACCGGTTCAAATATTCACCACCGTTATTGATCGTGAATCGGAAACCCGAGAATCGAACTCAGGTTGCCGGGCTCATAGTGCCTGCTGTGCCACGGATCCCCACACACACACACAACAAAGATCCCCGGTATAGCCTTAACAGACTGTAGGGGCAAGTGCTGTTAGCGAGCACCTATCACGGCCGGAACGGTACACGAAGGGGGTGGGTGGCCAGCACCACGCCCGACCGCCTTTGTCTCCCCAGTGGCGATGTTTACACACCGCACCAGGTACTCATTTGAGGCTGAGTCGACCTAGGGGAGGCCCAGGACCGGTTCAGATAATCGTCACTGGTGTTAGCCGTGAGCGGGAATCGAACCCGGGTCGCCAGGTTCATAGCGCAGCGCGCTAACCGCTACACTACCGCTCCCCACACATGCACACGCACACACACACGCGCACACACACACACGCGCACACACACACACAAGCGCACACACACAAGCGCACACGCGCCGTCACCGCCTCACCTGGTTGACGTGCACGGGTGGCATCGCCGCCGACGAGACGCACGTGTGGCTGGGCGAGTTTGGCAGCGACTTGCACTGCCCGATGGAGACCTGCTGCTTCTTCCTGGATGCGACGATCTTCTGAGCCACTGCCCAGGGAGGAAAGAGACGTTTGTGCATCGCTGAAGGTGCGCAGGAGAGACCGCCGCGTTCGAAATCCCGCCGCCGGCTGATGCACTGAGAGTTGTGGGAGACATGCGGGCTCTTTGGCCAATGCAAATGGTCGGGGCTATTCAACGCTGTTGCCCCCCGATTCTCACTGTTGGAATAAATAGGTCAAGCGTTAAACGTGGGACTGCGTTGCCACCTGCTGGCTTCGCCCGAGTCGTGCACGCGCTGGGACAAAAGCGTGCGCGCATTCAGGTTAATGCGAAACGCGCGCGTGCGTGCGTTTCGCAGGTGGCCTCGGCTAAAACACGAGAGAGTTGGGCAGCGAGTAGCAGGAGGGATGCATGTGGCAGGAACCGCCCCGGTCTGTTCACCTATAATCCCCGGCGTGTCCCGTGATCTCGCATCAGTTAGCGTTCGACACTGAGCACAGCGTCAAAGTGCACCTAGCCTGGCACAAGCGCCATTGTGGCATCACCACCAATAATCGATGTGGTTGAGCGAGCTAAACATTTTTCAGTGCCACTGCAAGTGTTTCGTTTTATTGTTTTTTTCTTATCGCAGTTGATGATATGCACAGTACCAGAGGCCTGTAATAAAAATTGCAAGAGATCAACTAATGATAGTCCAGCAGCTAAGAACGTGGCTTCTTGCATTGAGCGAGTTTGTGGGAACTTGAGGCAAGAGACGATGGGAGTGACTTCTCGAGACAGCGATGGCGAGCACGAATCAAGAGTCCACAAGGTAAGAGTCGGCACGTTTCCTGAATTGAGCAAGGTTAGAGGAACTTGGAGAAAATTTATTGATCAAGATTTGAGCAATGCAGGAAAATACGGGGGAAGAGTTGAGAATCGAATGTCGAACACGGTAGGTTTGAAAGAAATCGAACAATATAATCGAACTAGTCCTCTACATGGGCGGAGGAATAATAATCCATAACACATGTTTTTTGGGTTATATCGCGTAAATATATGAATGTGTCGTTAAACCCGCCACCACCCAAATCGGTCAATTAGTAAGGTTTGTCATGCCACAGCATTTACAATCTGAAGTACGACGTTTCGCCATTAATTACAACTAGCTTCATCAGGCGACAGCCATACATTTGGCGGCGGGTTTAACGGCACATTTATATATGTACGCGATCTAACCCAAAAAAACCTGTATTATGGATGATATTGGTCGCGAAAGCCTACGTGTTAAACAGGAATAATAATCATAGCAATGCTGATTATTATATCAACTTGTAACACACCGCACGGCACTCACTCAATCACGAAGAGACAGAACGACTCAGAGGTGCGAGGAGAAACCACAGACGACCAGGACGGCAGCCATGCGGTGAACCAGTGCCAACAGTTGCCCAAGTTCTGCAGTCCTCTGTATATTAAGGTTTTATCGGCCAGAGGGGAAACACTCTGTCCCAAATGGGTGCAGTCCACATTGTTTTGCTCTACTGCCTTCTCCTGGCGAGCCAGGGTATGGCACCTCCTCGATGTCTACGGGAAGGGAGTTTCCGAGCATCTTTGCGGTGATTTACCAACCCTTACCTCCACACTGCTCGATTACAGGCGAGCACCACCACCATCCGTATGAAGGTGTGGAAGTTCCCGATAACTCCATCGCTCACTGGGGCGAGTGTGAGCGTGCGAGCGTACGAGTGTGAGCATGCGTGGGAGTGTGAGCGTGCGAGTGCGAGCGTGTGTGTGTTACCATCCTGGAAGACGCGCTCCACGTTGAGGCCGTAGGTGGAGCACGTTTCGTAGTAGGTGCAGCGCTTGAGGTCATTGGAGAGCTTGCGTGCGCGTGTGTCGTCGATCACGCGCGGATTTGTGGCGCTGATGGCATCTGCAGGATTTAGACGGACGTTGACGGTGATGAGAGGCGGTAACGGCCGTGATGATGATGACGATGATAATGATGTTGGTGACGATCGTGGCAATGTCAACAATTACGACCTCGCCAACTGGACATCTGTGAAACCTACCAGATATCTGCGAAATAGAGCTTCATCGCTCATCGGATTCCTCCAGCATAATTAAATATTCTGATTCTGATCCACAGACGGCACCGTCATAAAATAGTAATCCCTCTGAGTACAACCAAACCCAATCTGAGACGTAACGGTGGAGGAGCGAATCATTAATTTTTCATGTCGGCCACGCAACATTAGCACGAGCGAGAGAGGGCCCCCCCCCCCCCCCCCCCCTGCACGAGAAGCCTCCGAAGAATCTTCGTGCGGCGTCTCCACGCGGCTCTTCCGGTCCGCCGAGCACCGCGGTTCCGCGATGTGGCACGTTGCTATTTTGGTTCTGCGCGGTGGCCTATTTCTTCGCGGGCTCGCTTCGAGTTGGTTAACGCGAGCAAGCGCCGGCGAGTGACAATAACGCTCGCGTGCGTCGACAAGACCCGACCACCCCAGCCGCAGGAACTCACACGCGAACTCACAAGCAAGCGCACACATGACCTAACACGTGAACTCGCACGCAAACACATACACGAGCACATATGCGAGCGTGCACGTGAAGGAAAAGCCCCGAATCGCAGGGACGCCGCCTCGTCACGCAAAACCGCGTCGAGCTTGCTGATTGATATGCCTGTAAAATAAAAATAAAAACCCAGGTGATCCATTCATAGATAGGTTTACCAATAACTGGTGACCCTCTTGCCCTCTACTCCACAGCCAATTGATAATTGTGAAACGACCGGCTCGATATCTTCGAGAGGAGAGAGTAGAGGCTGTAAAATACAACATGATATTGTCTATAATGTTTTCCTATCTTTTTAGCGGGGTATTTATATACAGAGTGCGGAAGACTAGGCCAAATACTCTACAGGGGATCCTCCAGTAGAGCTCCTTCTACTGGAGGATCCCCTCCAAGGGCTGGAACCTTGACCCATCTGTAAATGGACCACCCTGTACTTCACTGGTCCATATCCCTCCCTGTCCCGAGGATGCGTCACGAAAACTACAAAACAGCGAAGCGCAATCTCCACAAAAACTCAACCGCACGGCTCGCCAACACCGATGCTCAAATGTGTTGATTTTTCCTTCCACCAAAAATATAACGATAACACCAAAGTCATGCTTCGTGCCCTGCACAATCAGTTGTGCGTGCGTTCGAGCACGAGCCGAGCGGCCCAACGCACGTTCGCGCGTGCGCGTTCCATGCGAGACGTTTCCGCACGGGCTGCCTAAAACGAATTGGCTTTCCAGCTCGTTACACATGCGGCTTTCGTGCTCAGATTTCACCGTTCGTTATATATAAATGTAATTTCGAACCCTTTGTGACCCGACCCTTCCCCACCCCCCCCCTAGAGACAATCTTGCTTCCATGGCAACGACGCTCGCACCGCTGACCTTTTCATGAGCATGTAAGCGCACAATTTTGACACGCCGCACAAAGCCTCATGTCTTGCGGGATAAGGGTGAGGCCAAGGGTTAGGAGCCGAGGTCAGAGTGATGGTTGTACGCAGGATTGGCCAGCTAATTCGCTGATGCTTGAAAGTGTTTGCTTTTGATTGGCTGGGAGTGGAAGCCGTCTGCGCACGATTGGTCGGTTGTGAAGACCGCCGAGTCATCACAGAGCATCACTCATCGGTGTAGCTGATGCGTGTGGTGATAGCCTAACATCGGAACGATTGCGGGTAAGGATAAATCTCACAAAGGAGACGCTTCTACAAACGTAGTAATTTAATCTCCGGACGTTTCGACAGCCAATCGTGAGACGTTGAGACGAAATCACCCCGGTTGGAGAAGCGTCATCATCGTGAGATATTTTATCTATAATTGTTCGGATGTCAAGTCTAAATCTCAACTGCCACAATGGATGCGGTGGTGATAGAGCCGCTCAAAAATAATAATTTCTGCCGCAGGGGACGCAGGCTGTGAATTACAGCATTGGTACTTCTGCAAGACTCGAGTAATTCTGCATTGGTAATATTGCCCCGCGTGGACTCGAAAACATCCACGCACAAACAAGTTAGATACATCACATCGACTGTTTAGAAAAGAAAAATGGGCAGGGATGATTGGCCGATGGTCGAGACTTATGATGGAATGGCATCCATTGGAGGTAACACGCCCGAAAGCACGTCCAGAGATGGGGCGATAAATTCAGCGCATGCTCGTGTGCGAGATGAGCTGTTGTAAGGCAGGACTGTGAGAGGTAGGGAAAGCTGTGGTGGATGACCGATGATGATGACGATGCATAGATTATGGCTAAGAATGACAAATATTCTCTAAGAGCAGTGGCTCTGGGTGTAAATTTGACTCCTCTTTGAGTGCTTTTCAATCCCAAAGAATCTACAATGCAATACAAACCCCACGATACTTCACGTCCGTAACATTAACCACATTTAACATTTCTATCAATAAATATGAACGTCAAATGAGAACGCATGGTAATGTAATAAGTCATTTTCAACACCCCACCCGGCACATTTTTTTGTTTACATGTACTCTGTAGTTTGTTTTTGTCTTTCCTGAATGTGACCCCAACTGCGCTCCTGAAGTCACGGAATGAGACGGAGAATCCATCAGGAACGCTCAACAAGGAGTGAGTGCAACGCCCTGTGTCCCGTGGAAGAAGTTGTCGAAGAACTGAGTTTGAAACGTCACGGGGCTATCGTACACTAGAGGGCAGCACTTCTCCAACCTCCCTCGGACGTAAATGTTCGTCGCATCACAGTCAAATGAAAATGTGACATTCTCATAGCTGGGATTAATTTAAGAAAATGTGTTTCCACGCACAGTCATTGCTGACTTGGCTGAGAACGTCAACTCGCTACACTTGAGAACCCAGTCTGCCAGGATTCGAACCCACGATCTGAGCGGAGCCCGCACAGCGCTCTGACCTCTGAACAACCCTACCACGTCTCATTATTTTAAATATTTAGAAAAACCCAACGTAGCACCATACCATGTAATCAAAGTCACAACATGGTTGATTCATACTTGATTTTTTTGGGGGTCAGATCGCTTGGGTAACTTCCTTCACACCATGCGTAGCCTACCGTGCTAATCGGAGGTGTAGGATATAAATTAACATGTATGCTGTGATTGATAAAGTTTTACGATTAATATCGTTGCAATTGGCTGTGTCGGCTGGAGGAGAGTGTACTACACACCTTGAACTTTGGAAAGCGTGACCCAAATATCAATAACGAATCATAATAATCGTCGCGAAAGCCGACATGTACCTCCGATTAGCACGGTTGGCTATGTACGGTGCGAAAGAAGTTCAACATACATACACAATGTAGTTGTTGCCGCGTTCTTCTCAGGGAATGCATAAAAACAAACAACAACAACAACGCCTGGGGCTGGAGTAAGCTCCACATCATGAGCCATGCCTGAAGATGACGCCGACAATGATGACGATGATGATGACGATGATGATAACGCCGACAATGACGACGATGACGATGATGATGACGATGATGATGACGACGATGATGACGATGATGACAACGCCGACAATGACGACGATGACGATGATGATGACGATGATGATGACGATGATGACAACGCCGACAATGACGACGACGACGATGATGATGACGACGATGATGACTATGATGATGACGGCGATGACGACGATGGGGCGACTCGTGTTGGCGTGCTGGCGTGTCATCGTCACCTTGCGTGCCAACCAGCAGCAGCGGCAGGTCGGCGATGTTGCGCACGTTGGCGAGGCGGCTGTAGTAGTTGTACACCGTCTGGAAGCTGATCTCGTCCTCCAGGCTGAACACGAAGATGGCCGCGTCCACCCACGACGCGAACTGCCGCCCGGCACACGGCACACGGCACACGGCACATGGTACACGGCACATGGCACACGGCACATGGCACACAGCACGCGCCGCAGAGAGAGTTGTTGGGGGGGGGGTGTGGTAGGGGCCGAGGGAGGGGGATTTGGCAGGGTGGAGGCTGTTTCGGAAAAGATATTCGCAGGTTCGACAGCGCCCGTGCTATTGCCAACTGAGATCGGTAAACGTTTGTGCATTAGCTCTGTTCATCTGTTTATAACGGCGGTGGGGGGGGGGGGGGGGTCACGTCACGATAAGTCTCGTATAGGTCATCCAATATGACCCAACTGTAGTATTAAGGATTCCCAAAACACGGAAAGACAAAACTCCTAAAGCCTAATGCCTAATCGCCGACCATAACACGGGGGGTGGGTGGGGGTACATTTAAGTAAAGGGACACGAATGTTTACTGGGAGGAACAAATATGAGTTTCCACCAGATTGGCTTACCTGTGGCTCTGGGGGACCTCCCTCATCGCGGATGAGGAGCAGGTAGCTCTGCCCATCCACGACAATCTCCTTCTTGAAGCGACCTCCTGCGGAGGAGATTGCTGCCATTAGTCTCACACCCAGCCCATCATCGCGCTCGACCACGCCGCAAAAAAATAAAACAAGATGCCGAGACACATTCATTTATTTCAGACGTGCTGAGTGTTTACTTCCCCCCCCCCTCCCCCGATATATAAACAAGGGGCCGACTAATTAATCGGTCAATCGATCAATCAAGCCCCGGGCTTGGGAATCTCACGTTGTCGCAGAGGTCAGAGGTCAGACGCGCAAGCAGGGATTCCGAAGAGGGGGAGAAAAAACGCAACCAGATTTAAAAACACGGCCGTGTTTTAAAAACGATCAGCGCTGCTATAAAAGGCTCTTATTTGATTCTCCTTTTGCCCTTTCACTCAGCACTAAAGTGAAGGTGGCAGCTTGAAACAAGCCAGTGCATGTTTGGTTAACGACCCAAGACGCCTCGGCGCTCACTTTGGGCCCACTTGACTGGAACATTTTCCCCGGCAGGGCTGTGGGCTTTGCAGGCTCTACCTCCGATTGTCGCCGATGCCCCCCCCCCCTCCCCACAACCGCGCGCTCTGCTCGTGCCGCACCCTCGACGGCCGTGCAGCTCTTGACGCATGCCGCGGGTTTTTCTCATTGGGAAAAAAACAAACCGGATGAGCGCTTTCTTTACCAGGTGCTGTTGTGCTCCGGTTACAGGTAAAGGTGGTAAAAGGTGCAGCCCTGCGGTTTCTTGCTAACGCCACTGCTCGTGGAACAGCCTCCACCAGAGGTAGTTCTAGAAAGCCCCTCTGAAGCTGGTAGTTTGGCCTACTCATGCACACTGGCCAGGCCGCTTGGAGGGTGGGAGTACACGCACTTTACACCACCGCACGCGACCTGTGGATTCCAGACACTGCGGTGCATCCATTAACATTGCTGGGTGGACAGAGATGAGGTTGGCATTAAGAAACTTGCGTTGCCGTGACGGGAGATCCGCACTGCAGATGCGCGTGCTTACCGTTACACCAGCGAGTCGCTAGGACCTGGCGTCATTTCATATCTCTCGCACAGCATGTCTGCGCGACCTACACTAATAACTCGCTCTGATCTCCGGGTGTGCGTGCGGCATGGCTCCGATTAACGCGCTCGTGCTGGCACATCACAGGTGGGAGTGTGCGGGAAATGAGCAGAGCCGACACGAAGGGATGCCCGCCCGATCGCCCTACCCACTCGCCCTGCCCGCTCGTCTGCCTGAGCAATCACGGGCTACGTGTCGCTGTCGGCCTTTGTCGACAACAACATCTCGGGGCTGATTTAAGCAAGGCTGACAGCGGGAAGGCCGTGGTACGCTATAAATTTTGTATTCGCGCAACAAAGTGATTTATTTATTTATCTCTATTTTTTTACTTTCCTCTAAATTTTACTTTAGCCCGATTCTGCGTTCGGCATCACGTCATGAGACGAAGCATCCATTCGCGGATCTCTCGCGGATCAGTAGCAATTGGAAAATGGCCTGCGGAAATGGAGACCACAGAGCTACGTCGGAGATCCCTTTGACTGAACACTCTGGCTCACACGGTAGGGGACAGGAGGAATTTATCCCAGTTAATTACAGAGACAAATGCCATGCGATGGGCGATCTACTTTTTAGTGCAACCGTTTTTGGTGACTGGGCGGAGACCATCGGCTCACTACAATTAAAGACGCGAGTTTAATCGCGGGCAGCCGGGACGTGGATTCAAACCCAGGAACTCAGCAGCGATGGATCGGCACTCTGACCTCTGCGCCAACCCGACCACCTTGTAAGCGTTAACGTTTTTTATAGCTCCGCAGTCCAGGTGAGAGCGCAACACCGAGGAGGCAGCGCGTCACGGATCGGTGAGATCGGCTCACGGCAAGACGAGGCCTCCCGACCGGCAGACGAAGAAGGCAGAGCGAGCGGCTGGGCATTATGAACAGACAACGACGCGCAGCGTGCCAGGTTCCAGCAAATCAATTTGGCAAAAGGTCGAATGATGCACGGCGTCCGTCGCCATGGCAATCAAAAAGAGTTGGGGGGGGGGGGCGGGAATGACGTCAGCGAGCCGATGGCAGGCGCGCGATGCTCGGCGGAACGATCCGTCGAGCGCCCCCCGAACGACCCCCCCACCTCCCCACTCCCCCCGCCCCTCCCCCACTCCTCCCACTCCCCCCACCCCCCCACTACCCCCGCCCGCCACCCCCCGCTCCCCCCGCCCCCCCCGCCCCCCGCTCCCCCGCCCCCCCGCCCCCCGCTCCCCCGCCCCCGCGCCCCCCGCCCCCGCTCCCCCCGCCCCCCCGCTCCCCCCGCCCCCCGCTCCCCCCGCCCCCCGCTCCCCCCGCCCCCCGCGCTCCCCCCGCCCCCCACTCCCCCCGCCCCCCACTCTCCCCCCCCACTCTCCCCCCCCACTCTCCCCCCACCCACCACGACTGCCACCCAGGTACCGATGCTGCTGCTGCTCAACCACGATCTACACGTCGTTGTTGTTGCTTCTACTCTTTAATCGCCTTGTGTTGTTATGGCGGCATTACAGTATTCATGATGAGCCGGTGGAGCTGTGGTGCAGCGGTTAGCGCACTGCGCTATTAACCTGCCACAAGACGAGCTCGATTCCTGGCCACGGCTAATATTAATTATATCCGAACTGAGTCTGCCCTACCGCCCCCTCTCCTCCTCACCACCCCTACCACCCACCAACACTGACCAGGGTGGTGAAGTATGGTCAAACAACCCCGATAACCGACACTGTGGAGAGGACAATATCCAGCAGTGGACTGACAAAGGGCAATGATTATTAATATTAAACATCGCTTATTTATCTACTTATTTAAATAGAGAGCAGATGCGCACCACACAAATGTGAATTTCAGGGATAAACAAGACTACATTGGACGAGAAACAAAGAGACAATAAAGAAGGCATGGTTGGTGGGTGACCAACTCAGACAGGCGGAGAGAAAGTCAACTTAGATGGCAAGGACGTCAAGGACGCACGAGCAGAGAGGTCAACCACAGCAGGACAAACGAGATGAGCGTGGAAGCAACAGGGGCAAAGACTGAGTGTCCGGGTAAAGAAAGAGGTGTTTCAAAGCGATGAGCCAGGATATGAAGGATGCGAGATAGAGAGCAACGTTGAATCAATACCCTGGTGCATGACCGACAACACCGAGAAGCTGTTGCCTTTTTCATTTCACATTCAAGTGGGGAGCTGCTCTATCAATAACAGCTCCAACGGCGCCAGTCAATGCGACCCAGCAGCCACACACAGTCGAGTCCCCGTGCACCCACGGGCACTACGTGGTCTCGGACTCCGCTCTGTGAAGTTTGACCTGCCGCCAGGGCAACGCGTGCGCAGCGAGCCACGAGGCCACCAAAGACTCGGATCCGATTCGAGCGCGTCCACTTCCCACTCGTACAAACAGCTCTCCCCCGATGCCTGTCAGCCGATTGCCGGCCGCCGTGCGAAAGCTGCGTGCAGGTGACGGCATACTCACGCCGGATTGTCACGCGGGGAATGGGTCATCGCTAATGCGGCAGATGTTCTCGTGCGTGTGTGTGTGTGTGTGTCGAACTAGCCGCTACGTCTAAAAAGGTGCAGGCCTGCAATTGCTTGCTCGCTTCGCTGCTGACGGAAGAGCATTCCTTCACTGGAGGGAGCTGTAGGGAACCCCATGAGGGTGTTTTTGACCTCCTCTTCCACGCTCGCCAGACGTCTTGGTCGAGGTGGCAGTGCCTGCACTTTGCCCCCCCCACGTGCGAGCTTTCCGATCGACTAACTGCAGTGTAGCCATTTAGACCGCCGGGTAGACGGAGGCGACTGGGGAGGAGTCCAGCGTGCCAACCATCACACGCAGTAGCAAACGCTTGGCGACATGGATTTTAATCACAATATATTAACCCTTTCCTGTTGCGATGACGTACCTGTACGTCACCAGTTTTTCTTCCGATTCCGAGCAGAATCGGAAGTCAAAGGCCATGCGGGAGGGCGTGTGGCACAGTTTAGCGCAAGCTATCATAGAATGCGGACGTGTCGCTACAGTTATCTGCGCTGAGTACAATATTTTTAAAAACAGCAGCACTATTCCTCTCTAAACAAAATGAACACGAACCGCTTGTGCGTTCCGAGATTCGGCGGTGACCAGGACCTACCCTGCAAAATTTGCAGACGTCTCAAAAACGGGAAAGCGTTAAATTCCCTCTCAGAGTGACTTCTCTCACGTTTCCTTCGGCGTCGACATTTACTCGCACATTAAAAACATCGTTACATACATCTTGGGAATGTCGGCTCATTTGTCCTAACTTGTTTTTCGCGGCAATGGGAACCCACGCGTGAATGCCAAGGGATGGTTCATGCGATCGTTCCATTGCGCTCCGCGCCCGTTTGCTCCATGTGATTGCCAGCCAAGTAATCTTGCATTTGCCGAGCGATATCCAGCACGGGGCGATTGCGTCCGCTCACCCCGTGCTGTCCGCGCAAGCGCTGGGCGCGCTGCCCCTAAAGTGCACGTAAATCCTCATGAAAGGTTTTTATATTTTCAGCCCGGCATTAAGCTGGTGTTAAATAAATGCGAGTGGCATGTGTTTTGAGTGGCGAGAGAGAGGTGGTGCCATGCTGGTTCACGCAATACCGCACACAGAGCTAACGGCTGAAACGAACGCTTGAGTTTCCATTGCTCTTCACACGTCTACTCCAGTTTACCAATGACGGGGAAAATATTCAGCGAGGCATTAAGTTCCCGTTGTTGTTGTTCTTCTTCTTGTAGTTCTCAATTGGATGGTTAATGTTGTGGTTGTTAACGGCTTGGTTGTTGTGGTGGTGGTTGTTGTCGTGTGGTAATGTTTAAGGTTGTTCATGTTGATTGCGTGGTTGTTGTTGCCGTGTTTGTTGTTGATATGGTGTGATTGTTGTTGTTGTTCCTGAGCCAGAAGCTTACCTTCGGGAGACTCCTCCTGCATGTACGCCCCCGTCAGGTAGCGGTGAACCAGGGCCGACTTCCCGCTTGCCAGATTACCCACAATGCCCTGCCACACACATCCCATCGTCAGCAATGTTCACCCAACAGGGACAAGCGCAAGTCCGTCGGTGGGTGGAGGTGGCAATGGTGCTGGTGGTGGTTGTGTAGACCTGCAACTCAGCACTTCAAAGGCAAGAGTTAGTGGATCGCGTCGACTTTCGAAACTCCAAAACCCAACGTACTGCGAGGCGGCCAGGAGATGGCCGAACAGGAAGTGTGCTCACGAAGCCGTCCGTGTGGACTCCTCAGTATCCCCTCATACTGCGGATTTTTCCTCCGAGTATTCACGTCTTCTCCCGCAAGCAAAACGCGCCTTAAAATACCAATCATCCCAATTGAGGATGCTCATAAAAACGAGTCGTTGGCACTCAGTGTGGCTTTCCCCATGAATAAATAGATGGTATTATTATTTTTACTCTTTGGTTCTTTCGGTAAAGTCACCCAGATAGAAAATTAATAGGCGAGACAAACACAGCATGAGAACTGCTCCTGCTGTGTTTGTCTCACCTGATGAGGGTTGCTTGTGTTGCGATCGAAACGTCGTGATCTATTAATTTTCTATCTACATGACTTTACCGAAAGAACCAGAGTATGGATTCCTGCAGTCACGAAAGCTTCAAATCAAGATGATTATTACTCTCATGAGGTCAGCAGCACTTAGCTATGTCTAACGCTTGCTGGGGGGTGGGAACAGTGACGAACGTAGCGGTGACCGCCAACGCAACACAACATCATCTATGTTGAACTTCTTTCACGCTGCACGTAGACAAACCGTGCTAATCGGAGGTGGCGGACACCACTGCGTCCTCTCTCAATCCTGAACTGAACAAAAGAGCTGTTAACGGTCAACGGGGCAAATCGCCAACGCGATGAGCTTCAGCCAAATTCGTCAGGACGTGAACGTCCTCCTGAATGCAGTGTGTGCATGCGTGCGTGTGTGGGCACACGTGTGTGTGTGAATGGGGAGCGGTAGTGTAGCGGTTCGCGCATTGCGCTACGAAACCGGCGACCCCAGTTCAATTCCTACTCACGGCCATATCGCCACTTAAGGAGACAATGGTGGCCAGACGTGGTGTCGGCCACCGATCCGCTCGTGTGGCGTGCCGGCCCTCATAGGTGCTTGCTAACAGCACTTGTCCCAACAGTCTGTTAAGGCTACATGGGTGATGTTTTTCTTTGTTTGTGTGTGCGTGCATGCGTGCGTGTTCATGTGTGAAGGGGAGCGGTAGTGTAGCGGTTAGCGTGCTGCGCTACGAACCTGGCGACCCGAAATCGATTCCCGCTCACGGCGAACACCAGTGACGATTATCTGAACAGGTCCTGGGCCTCCCCTAGGTTGACTCAGCCTCAAATGAGTACCTGGTGCAGTGTGTATACATCGCCACTGAGGAGACAAAGGCGGCCGGGCGTGGTGTTGGCCACCCACCCCCCCGTGTGCCATGCCAGCCTTTATAGGTGCTCGCTAACAGCACTTGCCCCTACAGTCTGTTAAGGCTATACGGGGGATCTTTGTCTTTGTTGTTCATGTATGTGCGTGCGGTCACGACGCAGGGCCAGCGCTCACCACTTTTAGCTCCGGCACGGCACGGCTCAGCGTCCACTCCTGGCTGTTCACAAATGAATCTGCAAAGGCATGAGGGGTGGGGGTGGAGTGGGGGAGATTGCATTCACACACTGGCACCACACCAGGAGCCTCGTGTACAGCACGTCCGACGAAATGGACGGAGCTCGCGACGAAAACGATCAGCAGGATTCCTTGAGCTCTGATTGGGCAACTGGGATCAACGGCACTGCCACTCGACCACTGAACTCACCTGGATCACACACCAGGATTACTCGGACTATCAGGACTACTACTCAGATCACCGGCACTACCAAATTATGGGTTACTCACCCACTCATGCATGTATACACACAGATGCTCGCTCACTCATGTACATATTCACACGCACACACTCAAAGATGTTGACTCGTGTCTATGTATGGAGATGTTAACGTGAGAATTACCCATGGAAGGATCAGGAGTCCTGCAGCAATCAACCAGGGCAGGATTGTAGGATCTAAATGTTTCCCGCAGAAATGCCCCAGCTCAAAATCTAAAATGCACTTAGGGTGCACAGGTGAAAGCCCACGGTCACTTGGCAATTCAAACAATTTAAATAATACAGCGGGACTGTTATGCTCGGTTGTTCTTATGAAGGCGTTGCAGATTTTATGGCCGAGCACAAGAATTGGCAGCGGGAGATTCCGTTGCGGTGTTCGTGGAAGCCCTGCAGCGCATCGGGAAATCATTTCCGCAGAATCGCTGGCCTAGAAGCCGCTCGTTCTGCGACTGCAACGACTGAACTAATTCCTTTTTTCACCACCGGGCATAACCAACTCCACCTCTACCGAACGGCGGATGGAAACATCTATCTTTGCTTCTCTATTCGCCTGCATACGTTATTACACCTTGATGCATAATTCAGATTAATCACAGATGTGCCGACTTGGTATTCATCATCGAGGGCCCTTTTGCCTCAGCACGGCGTATGAATTCTTGACTCGGGGTCACGGTGAACTCCAACTCTCACCCTCGACGGCAATCTATTTGCAGCCACATAGGAAAACGTGGCTTTATTTATTTGTATTTCTTCCACATCAACAGGCCGAGATAAATTCTCTCGCCAACAAACCCTGTGGTATTCACACACGGTTTTGCCCGTTGACGGCATCGAGATATATATTTTTTTCACGCACCAAAAAGAATAAGAAATATCCATTTCAGTCGCTAATTTTAAGGAATGTTGAGTTGTTAAGCAGCTGACTCTTGGCCACCGTGGAGGAGGGGGCACATGAATCACACGGCGTGAGAATCACCGTAGACCGAGGGGTCCTGTTCGCCTTTGGACGTCTGACTCAATCTGCGCGTTGTTTTTTTTTTGTCTCAACGATTTTTTTTGTTGCAATTTTTCAGACCAGCACCGGCGGGCATCTCACAGTGCAGTTGAGCAGTGTGCACCAAACATTCCGCCCTCCTAGTAGGAGGAAGCTTCGTGCGGCCCCAGAATCAATCTTCCCGATTCGGAGCACTGCCCACACAGCCCAAGCACAGCCCCCTAAGAGAGGGATAAGCAGAAATCCATTCTGTCTCCACGCATAAATAAAAATATGCCTAAGTGCATCAGCTTAAGAGATCAATATTATTGATCAACATTTGTTTAAGTGAGAAAATTCTGGACCAGCAGTGTCAGACGTGTTAAACAAATACTGTTGGATTACTAGTTGTTATTAACAAGATTACTCCATGGAAATGATGGGGCCCCATATGGCACTCCTGCACTTATAGAGGGAGAGATATGCGTTAAGGACGCTTGGAGACTTTAAAACAAAAGAAACAGCTTATGTAATGCACCGTCAAAGTGAGAGCGCTGTATGACCCGTGGAAAACAACAGAAAATGAGGATTATAATTTACAGCACTTTATCAATCTACTGCTGGATGATGGCCTCCCGAGGCCATGTCAGTCATGGGGCCGACTTGACGATACTCGAAGACGTTCGTCAGTGTGGCTTGGCGATGGAGGAGGGTACCCAGGAATGCTTCAGATATCACTCGTGACTGATCTCTGCTGTGGAATGAAACTCGGGTCACAGGGTTCGCAAGCACAGTGCGCTAATCACTGCACCACCGCTCCACTCCGGGAGAAGATAAGGTTTCGCAAAATATTACCATGTGGAATTCTTTTGTAGCATCTCAATCTAAATATCTATTTGACTGACACACACATATCGTTTTGTTCCACGAATTGAGCCTTCAATTTGAGAAAATCTGTGATGAAGAAGGACGCAGATTATTAAAAAAAATACAATCCCGATAAGTATTGGGATATAAATAAATAAGTGTTAAGAGAGATATAACGTATGCCAGGGGAAGAGTCAAATCTAGACGTGTCAGTCACATGCCCGAGAAAACCTCGGCGCAGTTGGCAGCGAGGTTCCTCGAAAATCTGTAAAAGTGCGCATCTTGACTTCTTTGTTCAAACGGCATGGCAGTGCGGTGCAAGTTCAGGACAGCGCGCAGAAAACAACGCAACCATTCCGACAATCCCACCACTCCTGACCAGGCATGCACGTGGCCGCCCCGCAACACCAGCACAAATACGACGGCACGACAGATCTTCGCATTTTGCAATCGCGAGGGTTTGTGCGAGCGCATTCCTTGCGCACCACGAAAAGGGCACGGAGCGTGTTCATGTCAGCGTGGCCTCATTTCTAAAAGTACGTGGCAGAGGAAATGTTGCGATCTATCAAAAATTAAGCTGGTGTGAAAGCTCACGCGCATGGTTCAGTCGGTGGACACTTGCACAGCAGTGTGGGTAATTCCCATGATGCTGTGCTGCCTGAACAGCATTCACACTCGGGACACAGCCCATTAATGTTGGCAATTCCTGAATCCGCTGCCCCCTGCCAAGCTCAGCGCTGCATGTGGCACGACGCTTCGTGTTATATTATAAGCCATTTTTCTGTGCAGAATAACCACGGCTTGCCTATGGACAAGCGTCAGCAGGTTTATCACTTTTTTCAGCTTTGCAGTGTGAGCCCACAGGCTGCCCTGACTAATTAACCAAAATTAACCTCCGTTTGCTTCACAGCGGAGGTTAAACATCACAACGTTGTCATGGTCCAAATTTGCCAAATTAGAAAATTACCCACAAATTACTTAAATGAGTAAAACCACATGGCTTTGTCACCTCCTACTGGCAGACGTTACCCATCTGTGACACACAGAACCTTCATGATAGCCTTGTTCGATAAGCATGTCACAAATACCAACTATGCTCATCATTATACTTTGTTATGACAGGATGTCGCCATCATTATTACAAAATACAGAAAATGAACAACTACGGAAGTTTTGGTTATTTTAATCATTCCTTGCATCCATGTTTAATTCTGTTAAGGCAGTCCATGGGGATGAGTTCCTGTGGCCTTGTTTGCGAGCCAGGCCCCTGCATGAGGCATTGCCTTCACAAATAAATCATCATCGACGTGTTCCAACAAACATCTCATTGTTTTTAATACTTCAGGAATGCTTAAAAATGTATGGCCCGTCTAAGTGTATATCGGGATATATATTTTAAAGTAGTAATAATAATAACCCGCTGGGTTTAGTACATTCCAGATGGTTTCTTTCGTTTACCCATGACATACACACAGTCCCGCCTGCCGAATAAACCATCCTCGGCTCCCCTGCGTTTCATTTTACATGACGTCTCCTGCGCATAACTACGATCACATGTGCCGCGGAATCCAAAGGAACACGAACAGACAGAGCCCATTCCCCCATTAGATCCGAAAGCTCGGACTAACACAAACCAACAGTTTCCTGAGGGTGGGAGAGAGATTAAGAGACTCCTAAAGCACTTCAGCATGTGCCTAAGCCTGCCGGAGCCTGAAGACTGGAGCAGGAGGATTGCAGTGCTCCATTTTGCCCGGACGGCGCTAATGTCTTATGACAAGCCGCATCTAATTAAATATCTACAGAGGGCTGGCGACAGCCTCACCCTGGGTCCGTGAATTGTGGTCGGGAGAGGCAGCGTGGGGCCAGTTTGATGGATCCAGGAAAAATTAAAGCTTTGGGCCATGGAAAATGAAATAAACAACTCTTGCCTTCTTTACTTTGTAAACTTGCGAAACAAGGATAGTCCTGGAGAGACACAACAAGAAAACACGAGAGCACTACGTATAGCTGTATTGAATGCAGATCGTTGATCAAAAGGTTGAAACTGAATTTGGTCACGGAGAGCAACAACGTGCAAAGTGTGCGCACAGAAGAACTTTTTCATCAGTGCACGTTGCTCACGATGAGTTGAGTTCTTCTCCGTGAAATATGGATTTTGCCATCATGGACACTGACAAAAAAAGTGAAAAAAAACTCAGAAGAGTGTGCGCACAGAGACGCACGGGGAAACGCACGTTCGGAATTGCACTGCGAGACAGCAAGAGGAACGCGCGGAGCAGGGAGCTGTCACAAATCAGAGACATCGTGTTGTAAGTACGTCGAACTTCTTTCGCACCGAACGTAGCCAACCGTGCTCATCGGAGGTGCGGGGAAAGGACAACAAACTAAAGACAAAAATCAGTTCTAAAGAAATGCATTTTTTTTGTATTTAAAAGTGCTTAGCTCCAGTGGCTTCCTAATAATGGAAGGAAGAGCGTTCCAGACGGCCGCAGGAGCGCGTTGACTGTTAAGATCCATAAGCAGGCTTGGGAAGGACACGAAACTAGAAGGGATGATGGCCGATGGAAAAGGCTTGGTGACGGAATGACAGGATAACACGTAGGCTTTCGCGATCAATATTATCCATAAGAGAGGTTTGTCACGTGAACAAAACCTGGCAATTGGTTACTAGTACAGCACACCGGTGTGTTGGAGCGTAAACCCACAACATTTACGATTTGAGTATGACGTTTCGCCAGTAATTACAACTCGCATCATCAGGCGACAGTAAGTCTGGCTATTATGGAATAGCAGAAGACGAAGGAGCAGTGAGATCAGTTAGTCCGTAAGAGCTGTGTGGGTGTTTTTGCATCGCGGGGCAGTGACGACATATTTATGACGAAGCTCTGTTTAACAGATGT